TGTATAAACTTTTACAAGTACACACACATACACACACACACGCACACTGTTATGCTCTTATTTGGCAAGACTTTGTGGCTAATAGCGCACACTGTTTGCTTAAAGCAGCAAAAGCATAAATGCCACAAAACATCAGCTATAAAGCGCACAATGATCCATCCACACAGCTACTGCACACATATACATCCATATACATATGTATGTGTGTGTGTGTGTTTGCATGACCATTGGCCATTGGGTTGGCTTTGCGGTCAGCAGCTAAAGGCTTTGGGCTTAGTTTTATTTAACACATATGTTGCACATTTTGTTAAGCCTTTATTGAACTGCTATATGGATATGTATGTGTATATGTATATGCGATATAGATGAGTATAATATTCATTTTTAATGCTAATCTGGGTATTAAACATATGTCTATGAACTCTATACATATTTATATATATAAATATACATATATTTAATTTTTTAGTATATTCATTGGCTGAATACTAGATATGCGCAGAGCTTTACACATTGAAAATCCCCATTTGACCACAACTTGCCTTTTGGAGCTTAACTGAAAGGCAAATGATATACATATGTATACATATATACATATTTATATACATACATCTATTTATTTATTTATACACATCTCCCTGCATTGTTATTCTTTTTTTAACATATCAATCTCCAGCCATTTTTAGCATCTCTTGTTTTTCATGCCAACCTTATTATCATAAATTTAAAGTTCTGCGTTCCTTCAGCTGAGAGAAAAAGAGACAAGAGATGAGTTTTAAGGCAATATGGTCTTGTTTTAGAAAAGGTCTTACTGCTCCTTTATTATTCAATATTCACCCAAAAGCATTTGGCAGCTATTGCGAGTTAGTCGTATATTCTAAATGAATTTAAATATACATATACTAGCATATTTATTATAGGAAAGTGGCAGATAGGAAAGAACTGTGTCCTTCACTGTTTAGACATAGCAAATCCCAAACTAACTGAAGAAAAAATGGAGCAATAATCAGAATTTTAAACAGGAACTTGTTGCTGGTTGAAATTTAAAAGTTGGAGACAAAATTATATATGAAAATAAATAAATAAATAGGAATATTTGCTGTAAGAATGAAAGAGATAGAAAGTCATTCAATATATTGTACACATAAAATCGGGCTGACAAGTAAAGATTTATTTATAATTTCAATGGAAACTTTGAGAGAATGAATAATTCCTTAAGCTGCTATAGCTTGAATACAAATTAGTCTACAAATTTATTTTCTCTTTTTATTTTATTTTTGTAATTTAGCTTGAAATCCTGACAGCTTCGACTACGGCCACAAAAAAAATAAATAAATAAAAATAAAAATAAAAATAAAAATTATAACTAAAATTTAAATTTAAATTAAATTAAAAATAAAAATTAAAATTAAAATGTTGTCAGTTAATCAATTAATTCTGTTTGCTCTGCATTATCATCATAAATTTAAAAGAAAATCTTTTTCGTGTTCCACTAAACTGCAAATCTTAAGCTGAGATGTTATTATTATTATTATTTTTTTTTTTTTTTTGTTATTTTTCTTTCCTGTTATATATTATAATTGGTATTCAGCATTTTACACTATTGTGTACACAAAGCTTTTCTCTTACCTTTATATCTCTACTTATTACCATAAATTTAAAGAACTGTTCGCCCTACTTCATTGCAGCTGAGAGACAGACAGAGGGATGGGGAGAGAATGGGAGATAGCGAGATGAAGAGAGATAGATTATATAAACTTTAAGTACACCCTCTAGCATTCACATAATTAGCTTTGTGCGTGTTTTAGATTCTTAAAGAAGTTGCTGGCCGTTAAAATTTATGCCAAAGGCCTTTGTGCCACATTTCATTTGGCTAAAAGTGTACGCCAGTTAGCCCGCTAGCTGAGCCATAAATGTTGCCCTCGAGCCAACAAAACGATTGCATCATCTTTTGACGGCAAACGCAGGCAGTTCACAATGCTCAATGCTGAATGCTGAGTGCTGGATGCTGGATGGCGTAGTGGCCGGATGACTGGCTGGCTGGCTGGCTGGATGGCTGGCTACCGACTGCAGTCAAGGATGCTGCAATCGTTAATGCTGTTAGCCAATTGTCAAACCGCTGGGAATTCACAGACTCGGCTCTCCTAGGTGATTATTTTGCATTTGTTGTGGCAATTCCTGGGCGACTCATATTTTGATTTCATTAGCTCACATATTTCACAAGCGTCCGTCTGTCTGTCTGTCCGGCTTTTGAGTTGCAAGCAAGCGTGCTTATCTCTGTTGAAATTGGGTATTATGTGATGGGGCAAGTTTAAGTAGAGGGCAACCGAAGACGTTAGAGGATGTGAAGCTGAGCTGATTTACCTCTATTTTCCTCCATGCGAACTCAAACAGCAAAACTATGAATTTTATTGCTATTATTGCTAGAGTCTGAATATATTTCTATAATAATTGCCAAATTAGTTAGAGTATTTGCTAGTCAGTCTTGCTTGCTGGCAATCATTGTGATTGTTGCTCTCTGTCTGTCAGCTTGTTTTGCCTCTTTTGCTTTTGCTTTGTTTTATTAAAAAAGGAAAACTACTTTGCATTGAATTGCAAAAATGCTATAATGCACCTACTGCATACAAACATACACACACACACGCACGCACACAGCGAGCTGTTGGCATTACCCGTTGCGCTCGACAGGCCGCGTTAAAATCTCCACTGACCGGAAACTAATTTGAAAATGTTATTCATTATGCATAGCACTCGCAATGGCTGTTATTTTTCGCGCACTTCCTGCAACGCTTTTTCCAGCGCTTTTCTTGCATTTTTATTATTATTATATATTTTGTTACATTTACTTTAGTTCCTTTTATTCACTCCCACTAACACACTCTCTCTCTCTCACACACACTCGTGAATATACAGAGTTTGTTGCAGTTGCTGGTTGAAAGTTCTCTTTCTTTCTCTCTCTCTGTGTGCGTGTGTGTGTGTGTGTGAAAGTTGAAACGAAAAGTTTCGCCTTGCAGTGCTCAGATTTTAACTGGCGCCTGTTTGTGAGTTTTAACCAGATTGTTGCTTATAGCCGAATTAGCGCATTTTAGCGGTCGCAAGTGGAAAATCCTTTAATGGATACCAGCTGCAAATGCATTTTTGATTAAGTGCGCATATACCACTGTCGCCTCTTAATACACAAATGCAAAGCATCTTGACTCGAGCACATAAATAATAAGTATGACGAATGCCGGAACTGAGAATACATCGGGAGTAGCCGACTGTAGAATACTGATTACTGTTGGATTAGCAGCTGCAAATATTCTCACTAATCTAGCTCTACCTCTCTCTATCTCTCTCTAGCTTCAGACAGAGAGATTGATTGTACACAAAAGCCAATATACTCTACACACTGTTTGAACAAGCATCAAAACCCCAAGCAGCACGAGTCACCGATTCCTGCTGGCCAGGAAATGGCGAATGCTTTGCTTCAGGCAGACCGCGTAGCGCGGAAAAAAGAGACCGGCTAAAACAATGACAGACAATGGGTTTGCGGATGTGGGCGCGGATGCGGATGCGGAGGCGGATGCGGATACGCTGCAAGGGCCAGGAGCAATGGCACAAGTTTTGAGAAGAAGACAAAAGTCTGGCTGGGGTTTAAGGTTTTAAGCATATAGAAATAAAAATGGCGTGCGGCGCATGCAGCATGAAACAGAAGCAAAAAAAAATGGCACCCACAAGAGCTTCCGGCAGACGTCCGCTTTAACAACTCTGTTATCCACACACACACACACACACATAGGGAGAGGGAGAGTGGGAAGTTACACACATGGGGCTGCAAAATCAGCGACAATAAAGTGCGCCCTGCACATTAGCTGCGGATCATGGCCCTGGCAATGGCTATGGTGGTGGTTAGCAACGTTTTTGTCATAAACCCATTAAAAGTCAAGGACGAAATTCATGTTGCATGTTTACTTAAGCACACACACACAGGCAGACAACTGTTATACTAGCAGCAGCTGTACTAACAGCCGCAACAACAGCCAGGAGCAAGCCGCTGCTTACAAAGTAGCTTTAATTAATGAAACTCATTAAAGGGATGCCAGGCGCTAACATACACACACACACACACACACACACGCACACATTCCATCAGGGTAGAGCACTGGCCAGGCAGGCCTAGACAGCATCGCGCGCTTTGACCTGCCACAATGCGTTGCCATACATTAGCCTATACCAGACCGACTTCTGGCCTGGCCTAGTCTGTCCTGGCCGGCTCGCACTTCATTCGCGAGTCCATAGTCCCCCAGTGCTGGCACGTTTAGACTCAACGACTTGGCCAACCTCGCCGACGTTGTGGCACGAGCCATGCACGAGGCGCTGCTGGCACGAAGAGAGCCGAGCACGAACAGAGACGAGAGCGCAACGCAAAGCTTTGCTGAGCGGCAACTGGGGAAAGTTTTTGGTAAAGCTTCAATAAATCCGAAAAAGGTGAATAGCCTAAACGGCGCAGGAGTTAATAAAGCAGTGCAGGATATAATATATAAGCTGCTTGCAAAGCAGTTGAGTAATTCAACATGTGTTTGTATAAGTTGCTCGTATACGCTTTAGTTCGTACACAAACCTTTACATATTTGTTAGCTTAGTGCAGCGCTGTCTATGCTGAGCGTTAAGTAATATGTATGTCAATAAATTCGAAGAGTTTAAACTTAAAACTGATCTAAGAAAACAATACGGAAGTAAAGAAATGATTTAATAACTCTGTGAAGCAGTTCCATTATTGTCTTATAATTATAATATACTCAACTAGTCTGTACACAAACCAACACGTATTTGCCGCTAGAGTTGTTTTTATGCCTATTTCGTATCGAATCCTCCCTCGTAGGCCGTCTCTTTCACTCGCTCGCTCTGACTTTCGCTGCCACTTGCTGCCTCAGTCATTGGACTCAGCACACCTGTATGAATTGAAGCACTCTCTGCGCTCTCTCGCACACATGCGCCCCTTTGAGCTGTTGCTGTTGCTGCTGCTGCTACTGCCAGGACTAGGCCAACAGGCTGAGCTGCCGTCGTGGCTGCAAAGCAAGCAACAGCTTTGGCAGCGACGCCAGCGTCAATCCTGACATTATCATGTTTGGCAGCAACAACAACAGTAACAGCAACAAAAGCAACCCCTGATACAGCTTTAGACGCTGTCCCACATCCTGTAGCATGCCCGGCACCTGCTGCATTTCAAAACAAAAGCCATTTATTTAGAATGGCAGGCGCAAAACGGAAGCAGCAACAAGGTAGACTACGTTGCCTTGACAACTGTTGGCCAAAACAAGCTGAAAAACGCACACAGAAAGGACTTTCAACTGAAAAACTATAGACTGCAATTTGAGCAATTCACAGAGATTAAAGTGCGATTTTCCAAGCAATGCAGTTAAAATATTTGCGAACTCTGCTTGAGGGGCAGGTGAGATCGGTGGGGATCCCCTTTAACTAAGCGAAACTCATATCTTTCACCCACAGGAGCAGATCCAGCGTGTGGCGGGCCTCGCCTGGTCGCCCAACCAGCAGAAGCTGGCCATAGCCACCGCCGATCGGCACATCCTGCTCTACGACGATGCGGGCGAGCGGCGGGACAAGTTCAGTACGAAGCCAGCGAATCCGGCCAACGGCAAGAACTCCTATGTCATACGCGGCCTGGCCTTCAGTCCGGACTCCACCAAGCTGGCCGTGGGCCAGAGCGACAGCATTGTGTATGTCTACAAGCTGGGCGAATCCTGGAACGACAAGAAGGTCATCTGCAATAAGTTCCCCCAAGCGGGCGCCGTCACGGCGCTCATTTGGCTCACAACCGGCGCCATTGTGGCGGGTAAGTGAATGGCAACATCTAATGAAAATCTAATCTAAGCTAATCTCATTCCTCTTGGCAGGCCTCGAGGATGGCAAAGTGCGCGCCCTGCACTGCAAGAGCAACAAGTCCCAGAGCCTTTATGGCGGCGACAGCATCTGCATCTCGCTGGCCGCCAATACCAAGGGCAACGGTTTCCTCAGCGGCCACAACGATGGCACCATCATACGCTACTACCTGACCGAGGAGGTCAGCGAGCCACTGGGCCGCGTGGTGCAGCATCCTGTGCCGCCCTTTGCACTCGCTTGGCCGCAGGGCGGCTTCTGTGCCGCTGGCTGTGATCAGCGCATTGTGTTTTATGATGGCATGGTAAGGGGGGAAGGGCAGAGGAAGTGGGAAAGAAATGACTGACTGGCCAAGCTCGTTTTATTCTGTCTTTGCTCTCTCTGCTCATCAACTCTATATCCTTCCCTCTCTCTCTCGCTCTCTTTCTCTCTCTGCCTTTAGGGCCGTCAGCAGCGCTGCTTCGATTTCTCCCGCACCGAGGGCGAGCGCGAGTTCACTGTAGCCGCGAGCAGTCCGAATGGTCAGGCGGTTGCCTTCGGCAGCTACGATCGCATACGCATCTTTGCCTGGAGTCCGCGCCAGAGCGCCTGGAGCGAGAGCGCCAGCAAGGAGATCAGCTGCCTGTACACGCTGAGCGCGCTGATCTGGCGCAGGGACGGCGCTCGCCTCGCCTTGGGCTCGGTCAGCGGCGCTGTGCTGCTGTACGAGTCGGTGCTGAAGCGTACCATTTGGCAGGACAAGTTCGAGCTGATCTTTGTGGCGCCCAGTCAGCTGCTGGTGCGTTCGCTGGCAGAGCCCACGCAGCAGCTGACGATCGAGTCGCAGTTGGGCCTGGAGATCGACGATGTGCGCATCATGGGCAAGGATAACTTCCTCGTGGGCCGCACCGAGGAGTCGCTCATCCTGTGCGATCTCACGCGCAATCTGACCAGCGAGGTGCCGTGGACGGCGTCGGGCAGGCACGAGCGCTTCTACTTCGAGAATCTGAATGTCTGCCTGATCTTCAATGTGGGCGAGCTGAGCCTGGTGGAATACGGCGACAATCGCATTTTGGGCTCGGTGCGCACGGAGTTCGTCAATCCCCATGTGATCTCAGTGCGGCTCAATGAGCGGGGCAATGGGCGCGAGAACAAGAAGCTGGCCTTTCTGCTGGACGCCAAGACCATCTGTGTGGTTGACTTGGTCAGCCAGCAGATCATCGGGCAGATCAACCACGAGGCCAAGATCGACTGGCTGGAGCTGAGCGAGACGGCGCACAAGCTGCTCTTCCGGGACAAGAAGCTGCGCCTGATACTCGTCGACAATTACAGCGGCAAGAAGCAGACGCTCCTCAGCAACATCTCCTTTGTGCAGTGGGTGCCGCAGAGCGACGTGGTGGTGGCCCAGAGCAACGGCAATCTCGCCATCTGGTATAACATCGACCTGCCCGAGCATGTGACCATGCAGAGCATACGCGGCGAGGCCATCGAGGTGCTGCGCGAGAATGTAAGGACACCTCCTGCTCCCTTTAATTTCCTGCTCAGTAGCTCATAGTCAAGCTCTTATTCCATTTCTCCTCCGTCTCCTCCCTTAGGGTCGCACTGTGGTACGCACTCAGGACGGGCCCAGCGAGCACAGCTACCAGCTGGACGAGGGCCTCGTCGAGTTTGGCACAGCTGTCAATGACAACGACTTTGGCCGGGCCGTGCACTTTCTGGAGTCGCTGGGCGACAAGCCGGCGGCCAAGGCCATGTGGCACAATCTGGCCATCATATCGCTGGAGGAGGGCAATCTGCGCGTGGCACAGCGTTGCTATGCGGCTCTGGGGAACGTGTCCAAGGCCTACTACCTGGCCGAGATGATAAGGGAAGCGGATAGCTACGAGGAGACTACGGGTAATCCGGGCATACTCTGCCCGCAGGTGAGGGCCAAGTTGGCTTTGCTGGGCTCCGATCTGCGAGCAGCTGAGCGCATCTACCTGGAGCAGGGCGACATTGAGGCCGCCCTGGCCATGTACCAGCAGCTGAGGATGTGGGACGAGGCGGTTGCCCTGGCGGAGCGGCGTGGCTATGCGCGCCTGGACGAGCTGCGGCAACAGCACATGGATTTCCTACTCGAGACCGAGCAGCAGGAGAAGGCGGCTCAAGTGCTCGAGGATGAGGGTCAACTGCAGCAGGCCATGGCACTGTTCCTCAAGGCCAACAAGCCGGCGCGCGCTGCCCGCCTGGCCCTAAAGACGCCCCATCTGCTGCAGGATGAGCAGCTGATGCTGCAGGTGACCGAGGGCCTGGTGCACAGCGAGCTCTACGAGCTGGCCGGCGACATTGCACACCGCCTCTCCCGGCCAGAGGCGGCGTTGGCCCTGTACCGCAAGGGCGGGGCCTTTGCCCGGGCCCTGGAGCTGGCCCGGGTTGTGGCCCCTCAGGAGGTGACCGCGCTGGAGGAGCAGTGGGGCGACTGGCTGGTGAGTCGCAAGCAACTGGATGCCTCCATCAATCACTACATTGAGGCGGGCGCCACACAAAAAGCTCTCGAGGCAGCGGTGGGCGCCAAGCAGTGGCGCAAGGCGGTGCAGATAGCCAAGGTGCTGGACGAGCCGGAGCTGATACAGCGCTATGCCCTGGATCTGTCGAAGCACCTGGCCTTCGCGGGCGACCTGGATGGCGCTGAGGACTTGCTGGTGCGCGCCAATCTCTACAGGGATGCCATCGAGCTGCTCAACCGCCATGGCAAGTGGGAGCGCGCCTATGTGCTGGGCGAGAAGTATCTGAAGGCGGATCAGCTGCGCGAGCTGTTTGTCCAGCTGGCCAGCAGCCTGGAGGAGCAGGCCAAGTATCGGGATGCCGAGAAGGTATTGATAGCTGTCAACGAGCCCGATCTGGCCATAGCCATGTACAAGCGCCGCGAGCTGTACGACTCGATGATCCGCCTGGTCGAGCGCTACCACAAGGATCTGCTGGACAGCACGCATCTGCATCTGGCGCGGCAGCTGGAGTCGCGCGGCAAGTTCAAGAATGCCGAGATGCACTTCATTGCATCGGGCGACTGGAAGTCGGCTGTGCACATGTACTGCTCCTCCTCCCGCTGGGAGGATGGCTATCGCGTGGCCAAGCAGAAGGGCACCGAGGGCGCCAGCCAGCAGGTGGCCTACATGTGGGCCAAGTCCATGCCGCTGGAGAGCGCCGTGCGGCTGCTCAGCAAGCTGGGGCTGCTGGATACGGCCGTGGGCTTTGCCTGCGACTCCGGCCAATTCGACTTCGCCATGGAGCTGTGCCGCTTCGCCGGCAAGCCCACAGACGAGGTGCACTTGAAGATAGCGATGTCCCTGGAGGACGAGGGCAAGTTCGAGGAGGCCGAAGCGGAGTTCCTGAAGGCGCACAAGCCGAAGGAGGCCATACTGATGTACCAGCATGCTGGCGACTGGAAGGCGGCGCTCAACGTGGCCGAGCAGCATCTGCCGGACGCCGTCAACGAGGTGCTCATTGGCCAAGCCTCCGCTGCGCTCGAGACGCGCAACTACCAGGACTACGAGATGCTGCTGCTGCGCGCACAGCGACCCGATCTCATCATTGAGCACTACAAGCAGGAGGCTCTCTTCGAGGACGCCCTGCGCATCGCCGAGGAGCACTATCCGGCGGCCCTGAATGATCTGCGCCGGCTGCAGGCTCAAGTGCAGCGGGGCCAGGCACAGGGCGAGGATGCGGGCGCCGATTCCCGCGCCTATCTCCAGCGTGCGGCCGAGTTCGCCAAGCGGGAGCAATTCCGCAAGGCAGCTGAGTGCCTGATGCAGATAGACGCCAGCAATGCCGAGGATGCAGCCACGCTGGAGCGAGCGCTACTGCGTGCCGCAGAGATAGTCAATCAGTTTCTGGAGGGGCAGGATGCGCAGGACCTCGCCCAGGCGCTGGGACCGCGTCTGCTGGCCATCAAGCAGATCGGGCCGGCTGCCCAGCTATACCTGGCCGCCGACATGCCCAAGCAGGCGGTGGATGTGTTCATCCGCGCCGAGCAGTGGTCGAAGGCGCGCCGCCTGGCCAAGGAGATCGACGCCGAGCTGCTGGCCTACGTGGAGCAGCAGCAAAAGTCCCGGCTCAAGCACGAGGGCAACGTGGAGCAGCTGGCGGACATCGACATCATCAGCGCCCTGGATCTGCTGGCCGAGCAGGGCCAGTGGCAGCGCTGCCTGGAGAAGGCCAAGCAGCTGAGTCCCTCCGTGCTGCAGAAGTACGTGGCGGCCTACGCAGCGCAGCTCATACGCGAGGGCGACAGCGTCACCGCCTTGGGCCTCTACCTCAGCTACGGAGCGCCACCCATCGAGGAGCACTTCAACATTTACGCGCGCATCGCGCTCGATTGCCTGGCGCTGCGCGAGCAGCAGGCGGAGAGCGGCGCCGTGTGGCAGCGGCTGCGCGACTTTCTCTACGGCCTGCTGCAGGGGCTGCGCGGCTCGGAGCACGCTCAGTCCAAGTTCACGGCAAACGCCGAACAGTATCTGCTGATCGCCCACTACTATGCGACGCGAGCCGCCTGCAAGCAGGTGCAGTCCCTGCATCCGGTGGCCGTGCGTCTATCCCTGGCGCTGCTGCGACACACGGACGTGCTGCCCGTGGACAAGGGCTTCTACGAGGCGGGCATGGAACTGCGGCAGGCGGGCCGCGAGGCAGAGGCCTTCGTCATGCTCAATCACTACTTGGACGTGTGCGAGGCCATTGAGGAGGGCTCCGGCAATTTGGTGGATCATTCGGATTTGGCAGCCACCGACTTTCCGAGCTCCGTGCCGCTGCCCGAGGACATCCATCTCAAGAATGAGCCCAGTCTCCACGAGGAGGTGCGCGAATGGGTGCTGGCCGTCAGCATGGACCAGCAGGTGGATCAGCAGCTGCCTAACGATGATCGCGGCCTCTACGAGTCCAGCTTGGGTCCAAACGATCTGGCCTGTCTGCTCAGCGGCTATCCGGTGCGTGGCCGTCAGCCGGTCACCTTCTCCGGCTCCAGCAACCAGGTGAATCGCGATGTCTGGAGCAAGTTCGCGGTGGCCGTCAAGATGGCACCGACCAGCAGCGTGACGGACATCATTGGCTTCGTCGAGAAGTGGCAGGGCGTGGCCAACTATGTCATACACTAGAACCAAAGTGTCATTAATTTCTCAACCGACCCTCGCATAAATAATTGTATGTGCTTTCAATTTAACTGTCAATAAAGGTTAATTGCAATCAATAATTGTTATTATTTTGTTGAATGTGGCTTAAGGTAATGTGAGCAAATACATAAGCTAACGAAGTCATTCTATTGTATTTAGCATATTTATATCAGTATAGTATGTAAAAATCTAGGCTTTGACTCAGCGCTTATTTGCGAATCGTGTTGACGTCCAGCTCAGTGTAGGGTATTAAAGAGATCGCCGGCTGAGGGGAGCGGTGCCAGGCCGCCAGTAACGTCTGGCAGCTGCGTCAGGTCGGGCAAGTTGGACAAGTGATCGTGTATCTCTTTTTGCAGGCCCAACATCTTAGCCAGCTTCTTCTTGTGCTCCTGCAAGTATATACACACAGAGAACATTCGATCGAGGATGAGTGAGTGGCAAAATAATGTGGATTGTGGATATAGAGCGAATTGAACATTTAATGCATAGCAATGGGCGATTATCTTTCATATATGTATTGTATATACAATTGGCTAACAACGTACATCCAATCGCTGCTCAGCTTGGGCCAGCAGCTCCTTCTGTTCCGCCTGAAAGTCGCGCAGCATCGCTGCCAATTTGGTGCGCTCCTCCATTTCAGCCGCGAGACGCGCATTGTAGTCGTTCAGCAGCTCAACGGCCTCATTGACCTGGACGAACAGAAATGGAAATCGTTAGTAAATGTATTTTAGACAGAAGAGGTAGTACACACCTGTTTGGCCAAGACCTTGGCCTTGTCCTTATCCTCTAGTTTGGAAATGCAGCTTATTTCAGATATTTCGGGCGGCAGCTTCGCGATGCGTTCGCGCACCAACGCATCGCTTGACGCCGAGTTCTCAATACTGGTCAGCGCTTTGATCAGCTCCTCGGGCTCGGGCGGTTCGCCCAATGGTAAATATGGAGGCGTGTGTCCATTCTCTGGCTCAACGACAGGCGACTCCACGCTGATGTTTTGATGGTGCGATGCACGTGGTCGCTTCGACTTCATGTGTCTCTCTTCATGTTTACGCTTCTCGCGTTTCTCGGACTTTTCCGACTTGTTGTTGTTGTTGTGGCTGCTGCTGCTGTTACTGTTGCCGCTACTGCTGCTGCTGGTGTGGTTGTGCTTGTGACCCGAAGCTGATTCACTGCCGCCCTTGCTGCCATTGGACGCAGCCGCTGTTGCTGCTGCTCCCTCGCGATTCATGCGTGACCGATAATCGGCGATTGCCTTAGGATCGTAGACGCCACGCTCCTGCCAGATGTTCAGAATGCGACCCAGACTGCCCAGCAGTTTTTCCGAGCTGCAGGTTTCGCCAATATGGGTAAACACCTTGGGCAGCACATTACTGAACTCCTTGCCATATTCGGGCCCCTTCTTTTTGCTGTTCTGTATAACATCGTTGGCCAGATACATGAACGTTAGCTTCTTCGGCTCCGGCACTGCACACAGAGATAGTTTTATGTAATAAATCAATTCCCATTTTATTCCCGCTTGTTACGTACCATTCTGTAATTCGCGCTGCCAGGTCTGCACTATGACCGTGTGGTGCTTTCGATGGTGGATCAGCCATAAGGACAATGTTTGTATGCTCTGCTGACTAGGATTTAGCTCAGATAGTTTTTTGATAAGAGCGGATTCCGTGAAGGCTGACATTGCAGCGACTCTTTAACTTTGATCAATTCTATTTATATGCCGATTTTATTTAATATGCAACACGAAAAAAAGGGGACAGAAAAACACACGGGTCGAAAAACAAAAATAATTAAATCTTCCTCTTCTCGTTCTGTGATAACAGCTGTACTAGTTTAACATTAACATTGGCTGTTAGCTATGAACGCTCTTTGCAATGGCTCTGCTGTTGTTTGTTTGTTTCTTTTTGCCCTAGCAACGTTCCGAAAAACTCTATAAAATATATAATTTAAGATATTTTTCCACAGAAAACTTTATTCTTTAAATCAGCTAAATCAGCTATTGTACACTTTTAAAAAATAACAACAGCTTAAAATAGTTACACCGGGTACTTTTAAGTCCTGGAATAATCGATAAGCTAAATGTTATAAAACAGCTATGTACATTAACAGAATACAGAGCTGCCAACTTAATACACAGCGCGGAGCTGCCTGATCGAGTTCTAAAGTCAATATGGCGCATTTTTTGGATTCAAATATTTGCTATGGCTGGGTGAAGATATATAAATGCTAACGAATTAATTTAAAAAATGCATCGCCCTATATATCATATAGGAAAGCAATCAATCAAATCAATTGACAACTATATTATGAATATGCGTCAAGCATTTTAGCGTATGCTTCACACCGATAAGCGCTTCAAACCCGACAACAGGTGTGATAGCAATGCGTCTAAACACTTGCCATCAGTTGATCGCCGAAGTTGAAGCGTATTGGACGGCGCTCAGGTGTCACATACGAATCGAGAGCAGCCGTAACGCGTGTGCCGCAGCTCATTGAGCAGTACAATAGCCGTAACCGTAACCGCCACCGCCACCGCCACCACAGCCGCAACCGTCTCTGGCAATCGACAGCGACGACGACGCTTATCAGCTTTGCCAAAGAGTAATTTGTGATACCTGTCCGTTTTGTATTGGGTTGTAGCAGCGCGACGAGCTTAAGTGGTGTTAATTTTTTTATTAATTATTATCGTATTTATTGCCAACCAAAGTGGAGTGCGAATTATTTCAAGTGTTTTGCCATTAACCAATAAATTACAATACGAGAACCAAACAAATTGCACATTACAAAACAACAAAAACAACAAGAGCAACAAAAAGAAGAGAAAGAAGCAATTGCATCGCTCGCTGTGGCCAGTGGGCCAGAGATAATACGTTTGCTTACAAATTTTTTTTTAATAGACTGTGCATGTCTTGATAGGCGAGTGTTTGTGATTTACAAACCATTAGGCGCTATCAACAACACATTAGACAAATTGCTAAATTAGCTGCTGGCGCAGTGTCACGCAGCGCTCGCGAATATATATATATATATATATATATATATATATATTGCTTTAGTATGAGTAGAATAAACCAAATACTTGAATCCGATACTCCAAGATATCCGAAATAATCACAAAAACAATTATTCGTACGCTCTTCCACGCTCACCTCGCTCTCTTAGCTCCGATAAGCTCTGGCTCTGGCTGCCTGACTGATTGACTGAGTCGATGTGTGTGCGTGCTTTTATGGCCCCAGTGCGTAGTTCTCCCAGGAGCCTAATCTTTTAGCTAAGCAGTCTTGGGACTCGGTCGTCCAAGTCATTTGAGGCAAGTAAATGCTGCTGGCCCATAAAATTAAAAATGCTGACGCCCTGAACGAGAGCAACAAGTGCAGACAGTATGAATTCGCAATATAATGCCAGCAATCGTGCAAGTTCGTTTCGCTCCAATCATGAGCATGTCCAGACGACGCTCAATGAAAAGAACTGGGAGTGGTCTTATCTAGTGGTAAGCTGCTAAGGAATTCCCTACTACATACATACATACATATATATCAAGCGGCGTCTAATCTCTTGGATTATATTTAGCGAAAATGTCGCAATCTGGAACTGGAGGAGTCATATGATTTATATATGCGCCGCCTCCGGATTGGCTATTTGTCCATTTTCATCTTTATCCAGCTGCTCGTCACCTGCACGCACGCCCTGGTGCTGCTGACCTCATCGGATCTGACCTATGCCTATGTGGACATGGTCACCTATGTGGTAACGGGCGTCCTCATCTGGCTAATACTCTCGGTCAACTTTCGCAACGAGCTGATCAGCAAGCACGGCTGGTTGATCTATGCCTCCTCCTGGCTGGCTGTGTCCATCTTGGTGCTCATGGGTAGCTATAGCTGCTAATCTGGTAGACCAATTGTTTTTCTTTTATTGCTCCCCTCTGCTCTTCAGACATTGGACTGAATGTCTATCATGCCACCAGCAACAATGACATCCTCAATCCCATCTATGATGCATATACTCTATATGCCATCTACATGTTCATGCCCATTCCGTATGTGCTGCAGCCCTTCATTTTGGGCACCGCTGTCACCATTTGCTATATAATCAATTATAGCTTTGTCATTTCCGCCAAGGAGGCCAATCAAATGCACAGCATATTCAAGTAAGTCTCAGCCCCCCGCTCTTTGGATAGACATCCCCTCTGTAGCTCCCTTTACAGCGAGGCCATCTACTTGAGCTGCGTCAATTTCTTGGGCATCTTCTTCCGGCTGATGCGGGATATTGCGCTGCGCACCACCTTCCTGGATCGCCGTCAGTATGTGGAGGAGAATCTATTGCTGCGCTATGCGAGAGATCAGGAGCGCAGCTTGCTGCTGAGCATTCTGCCCGCCCAGATTGCCGATCGCCTGCAGGAGGATGTGCGCAATCGCATTGAACGCTCCAAGCAGCAGCATCATCATCGACCCGGCATTAATCATGGCTGCAGCAACAATAATCAAGCCTTGAGGCGCTGGCGACAGCCAGATCATGGGTGAGGCCTCCAGGCTGTTACGCCCTCTGTAATCCAGCTCCAATATCTATACCTCTCTTCTGCAGCACTCTCTTCATCGAACCACACAAGGATGTCACCATTCTCTATGCGGATGTGGTGAACTACACCCACCTGACCACGACGCTGGATGTGAAGAAGCTGGTGGAGGCGCTGCATGATCTCTTCGTGCGCTTCGACATTGCCAGCGAGGAGTACAACGTGCTGCGCATCAAGTTCTTGGGCGATTGCTACTACTGCGTCGCGGGCCTGGCCAGTCCCAACGAGGATCACGCCAAGTGCTGTGTGGATCTGGGCCTGCGCATGATCAAGGACATACGCGATGTTAGGTGAGATAGCTGATGCTCCAGGCTCGCTTACTAACCTCCATGTTTGCCAGGGAGAAGCGAAATCTGAATATTGACATGCGCATTGGCGTTCACTCCGGCGACGTGCTGTCCGGCGTCATTGGCGCTGCCAAATGGCAATTCGACATCTGGTCCAAGGATGTGGACATCGCCAATCGACTGGAGGCCACCGGCGCCACGGGACGTGTGCATGTGAGTCAGCAGACGTTGCGGCTGCTGGACGGCGAATACTTCTACGAGGATGGCACGGAGAAGGCACGCGAGGATCCGGTGCTGCAGAAGCACGACATACGCACCTTCCTCATCAAATCATTGCGCGTGAGTATTACTCCATGGACGCACTGCAGCCCTTCGTCCAGGCGAATTGCACAATTAATCAATGTCGAAAGTTGTAGGCCCCCATGCATGATCCGCGTCGCGTGCAGCGTGAGCGCCAGGCCAAGAAGCTGAGCGAGGCCAGCAAGTCCAACTTCATGTACAACTCGACGCTGCAGCAATACAATCAAGTGCGTAACCAGGCCAAGTTGGAGATGTGCCGGGAGCTGGACAAAATGCCCATCGGTCGCATTCAGTAAGCACGGCCTTTGAAGCACATAGAATATACTTAACTTACACAAATTGCTTGCACTAGGATCACTAAGATTTGCAGACGATCCACAAACCTCACCCAAGACGAAATCGAGGAGGAGACCTTCAGGCGCAACATCAGCTCGTTCTGCCTGCTCTTTCGCATACGCAACTGGGAGATACAGTACATCCGAGAGCCGGATGTCATGCTCAAGTATAGCATAGTCCTGGCCTGGTTTGTCTACATGTGCCTACTGGCCATTCAGCTGCTCAGCAAGGAGTGAGTTAAGGAGCTGCCAAGGGCATGGCAAATGGGAACATACTCAATACTCTTCTATATTTGCAGTCCCAAATATCACTACTGGATCATTGATGGCATCACTATATCCGTGCTTACCGCATTGCTGATCATCTCCTGGTATAAGAAAATTTGGATTATGTACTTCTCCGACACGGAGCAGTCGCTGCCACAATATAAACTCAGTCGAATGCTCTACAAAATGTCCGATTTCATGCAGCGCAGCATTGTCATACGCCTCATAGTCTACCTCCTCGTGGTGTTCTCCTGCATTGCTGTGACCGCCATGCAAGTGGTGGGTTACATGAAATTTTCAAGTTATTTAAATTTAAGTGATTAGGTGGCAACGCTGCAGCCATAAACTAACAGCCCTGTTCGATTAACAGTCAGCTAACAGCGCTGAAAGCTATTTTAATGTTGGCGCGAGTGCAAAATCGTACATTTACCTAACTAATGAAATTTGCTTGTACTTTACAGCTCGACTGTGGACCGAAAAGAGATGAAGAGCTTATACAATGCTTCCACCCTTGGGTATGTCAGACGAAATTACCTATTTTGAATGAATATAATAATATAAACCGTTCTCTCAGATCCTGACCAATTGCGTTACTCTGCTGATTGGCACCGCCTTTCTGTTCACGCGCATTCCATTCGTTGTCAAGACAACTCTCGCTGTGCTCATTACGGCCGCTTATACGGTGCTGGTGGTCTATGAGTTTGATCACATCTTTGCCGGTAGTCCTCCGACGAATGTTAATCTCAATGCAAAATATTCGCACTTTCTGCTCATCTTCATAACGCTGGGCATTTTTCATTTAATGGAACGGCAGACGGAATTTATAGCCAAAGTGGACTACAAGTAAGTTGCTTCAGCATTTCAATTCTAATCTGCCTGACTAAAGACAATAGCAATTGGCAGCTGGAAGCGGCAACTGATGCAGAAACAGGACGATGCCTTAATTACGAATGATACGATCAAGGTGCTGCTGGTGAATATATTGCCCTCGCACGTGGGTAAGTTGAGTGAATAAAATATGGTTTATGTAATACTGATAGATCTTTGAATTGCAGCCGACTTCTACCTATCCACGCAGCTGCAGAATGAGCTCTACTACGAGGAGTACGACAATGTGGCTGTGATGTTTGCCTCGATTAAAAACTTTGATACCGACAAGATAGGCCTACGCGTGCTCAACGAGATTATATGTGACTTTGATGATGTGGTGAGCATGGACAGAAATATTTATATAACAGAGTCTTAGTATAATATATCCCCTCTCTCAGTTGAATAAATATTCGACTAGTCTGCGCGTGGAGAAGATCAAGGTGGCCAATTGGACCTATATGGCCGCCTGTGGCCTGGACGTCACTCGCTCCGAGCAGGTGAATGCGCCGCAGGTGAAATTCCGCAATGTCTCGCTAATGCCCAACGGACGGCGCAGTCAGTATCGCAACCTGGGCTCCGAGCAGCTGCAGCGCGTGCCCTATGGCAATGGCAATACGCTGGCCCTGGACATGGAGCGTGGCCAGTACGAGGGCAATGTGATAAGCGGCACGCCCAGGCTGAGCAGCAGTGAAAATGATAATCAACGCAGCAACGACGAGGTGGTCAAGGTGATGGCCAATTTCGCATTGGACCTGATGCGAGCCATGCGGCGCTTCAATGCCGAGAATATGCAGTCGGAGTATGAGGGCAGCACGGACTACGGCATGCTGCGCATCGGCATCTCGCATGGACGGGCAATGGCCGGTGTTGTGGGCATATCGAAGCCACACTACGACATCTGGGGCAATCCGGTGAACATGGCCTCGCGCATGGATTCAACTGGTATTCCGGGCAAGATACAGGTGACCGAGAATACCGCACTGAAGCTGCGCAACTTCAATATTCAGTGCAATTACCGGGGCAAAACATTCGTCAAGGGGCGTGGCAACATACCCACCTACATACTGGGCACCGACGACGAATACAATGGCTTCCTGCCCCACCATCCACCGCCAGCGCAGGAAAATAGTTAAATTATAAGCAAATATTTATGTAAATAAATTTGTATAAAACTAAAACTCTGTACAGCAAATATAAGTGTTTTTAACTCTAGATAGGCTGGGAGTAAAGTTGGTAATTCTAGGGCTCTCTGTGAGCATTTCTAATTGCTCTCACTGAGACGAAATGCAGCTACTCTATATAAACCCTAGTCGATCCCTTCCAGCCAAACTAATTTGGCATTTGTTATAGCTTTTAAACTCAATTTAGAATATTTGAGTTATACAAATAGTACATTAGATAAATACAAACAAATCATGAGCTCTATCAAATCGCCGAATTGGATGCTGATGCCAGATGAATCCATCATAGATGTGTCGAAACTAAAGGGCTACGAATGGATTAATTTGCGCGTGAGTCCTTTCGAACTACCCATTCCAACTGATGGCATTTCATTCATCATCTCGTAGAAACAAATTGAAGATCTTTCCCTGGAGCCATGCTACCGCCGTTACATGGAGCGCCTGGCCGTGGTCAATGTATCGCTCTTCGTGTTCCTCTCAGAGCTATTGGCATTCTTGCACGTGTTTTTGCAAATAATTTACAAGGGAGTGAGTTCTCTGTGATTTGTGCATCGCCTTGCCAGATTAAACAGTCTCCTCGCCTCTGCAGATTACGCTCCGGACAACGGTTCCATTCATAGTTATTATGGTGCTGATACCGCTCATACTTTTGATATGTTTCAGGGACAAGAAGAAATATGCTCGATTTTCGCTTTGGAACATCTTGGCCAGCTGCGCAGCTACCCTGATGATAGTATTGATGGGTATGGGAATCTGAGTGTCTAGTCAACAGCATCTGCTTAACCACAAAGTCTGCCTTAGACACCTTCTTTATGGCGCTGAGTGCCGGCCCTGATGTGCATTTAAGGAGCTCCTACGATCACATCGTCACCATATCAATATATTCTCTAATGCCAATATCCGTCTATGGCAAGCCCTCGTTTCTTGGCTTTGCTTCTACCGTGATCTATTTCTTATATTATGTTTACTCAAGCCTGTCGATTAAGGAACCGATCAGCATCAGCACCCATGGATCCTATGCCATCCATCTGGTTTCGCTAAATATTTTCATGGAGGGTTTTCGCATTTTCATCGAATACAACTTGAGGATGATGATATTGAATCGTCGCAAGTTGCTGTATCAGAACTTTAAGCTAAGGGTAAATTGAATTACGCATTGCTTTTCACATCTCATTGAATCTCTTTAGTCAGCCGTGCTAATGGAAAATGACACCATGGAACAGCTACTCTCATCCAATATCCGAACAACGCTGAAAGCGGAAATGTATAAGCGCATCGACGAGCAGCGGCAGGGCATGCGTTATTTCGTCTCAACGTTCGTATCGATCTGAAGATCATTTTATAACGTATATTCCATATGCCTAATGCAACTTGTAGTCTTCTCTTCATAGAGCTGTATTCAAATATTTCTATTCTGATCGCCAATATAATAAACTATCAGCTGATAACACAGCTGGATGTCTCCGAGATCCTGGAAATTCTGAACGGTATTTGTGTACGCTTGGATGAGTCGGCAGCTAAGCATAATGTCTTGCCGATCCAATTCCTGGGCAATTTCCTTAGCTGTATCTCCGGAATAATGCCGAAGTCAACCAGGCATACGAATGAGTGCGTAGATCTTGCTCTAGACCTGATCAACATAATAGATGAGATAGGTCAAGAGAAGGAACTCGAGCTTGCAATCCGCGTGGCCGTTCACGATGGCGAGGCCTTCACCGCCATTGTCGGCCGCCAGAAGTGCTGCTTCGATATCTGGTCACAGGATGTGGCCATTGCCCATTGCATGGCATCGCTGGGCCGCAAGAATATGGTGCACGTATCCCAGAAAGCGCTCCGTTTGCTGCATAGTGAATATAACTATGAGAATGGCCCGGAAGAGGCCCAAAAACATTCGCTCCTGCAGAAGGCCAATATTACCACCTACTTGATCGGGCCCCAGCCCCGGGTCATAAAAAGTACCAATTTTTTTATGCACCTTCACAAAGATTCTGAGTCGAGTTCAGATAGCTTACCCCAGTCTACTATGCAACGCAGCTCGTTCATTACGGTATCACGAGCATCAACCGCATTTGATTGGAAAGACCTTGATGAAGTGCGCCAGAAAACTGCTAGTTGCCTGCTCGAAAAGGTCGAGTATATGCCCGTCGACAGCATCAAGTAAGTATAACCCACCCGATCGAGTATAAATATATCATATGTATAGAATAATGTATGTAATAGAATAACACGACACACAGCTTGGCGAGAATATTCGATTTCTCAGATCGCATTGAACGTGGCAACGAGGATTATATTATCAATTCTTATATCACGCCATTCTGGAGAATCTATCGCAATCCCGAAGTTGAAAGCGGCTACGGAAATCAGCCAGATGTGTTTTTCAAATATGCCATCTTATTAATGGTATTCGTTGCCACAGTCTTCTGTATAATGGCCCTGTTGCCACCATTCAGGTAAACATCTCTCTAGAAGAAAAATTGAAAATTGTTTTCCAATTTGCTATATTTGTTTATTATCTGATGGGAAAATAATTGATGAATCTTTACCCATATATCCTTACAGAATAATATTTTATAATATATTCCATTTTTCTAGCTCTGTAATTTCATACAAAATGCTTAGCATGTACTCGATATTGATTATAATATGTCTGCTTGGCTTCTATAACAAAATTACAAGACGCATTTCCAAGCATAATACAGCGTCTCCAGCGAAATTTTTTCTACATCGCTGGCTCTGTACACTCTGTCGATGGCTGGAAGAGAAACGAATGCTGCGCTCTATAGTCTATATATTGTGTGTGTGGATGGTCTATTTTCTGGGCACTCAAGAGGCGGTACGTATATAAACGAATCTTAATTGATATGCATTTGTATATATGGCGTGAACATGATATAGATTAAGCTTCGAAGGGACGAGCTGAAGCTTATAGCAGATAAAACCCTGTTGAGTCCGAGCATCGTTGAGCCCTGGGTAAGTTGGGCTGCAAAGCGTAGGTCCGAAGAGATTAATGTGGCATTAACATCTGCAGGAAGCTTCAGAGCACATGATTCTAGTAATCATGCTCTTCACCTTTCTGTCCGTACCGCTGATCTTCAAAGCGGCGCTGATCGTTCTGCTCTGCATGGTGCACATCCTTACCTTGTATGTGTTCTACAACATAAAGCACAGCAAACAGAAAACGAATATGGGGCTGCCGGCCGAAGTGGCAAGCGTTTGGCATTTGCTATCGGCCTGCATCTATTACATGATCTTGGATCATCACATAATCTACCTAACACGCGTGAGCTATTAGTGAGTATATGCCCAAAATGTACTCTAAGATATTTTCCAATTCCCTTTTCCAACTTTAAGCTTTCTGCGTAACGCTGAGAAGAAACTGGAGCAAATAGAGAAAAGCAAGAGCAATGCAGAGCATATCCTGGCTAACATGTTGCCCACCTACCTAGTGCCCATATTTATGAAACACCCCTCTAATGATCCGCCCTATCACAAGTACGTTGCGAAAGTCGCCGTGTTGTTCGCTTCCATTGTCAACTTCCCATTGGATACGACTAGTCTGCGGGTGCTTAACGAATACATTTGCTATTTCGATGATCTAATCGAGGAGTATGCGACAGGCTTTAAGGTGGAGAAGATCAAGGTCATGAACTGGACCTATGTGGCTGCTTGTGGCCTAGAAGCAGGCGACAATCTATCTCAGTCAAGCAGGACTTCCATAAGGAAACCAGGCAGAGGCCATTTATCAAGAGTGTCGACTGTATCGAGTAACTATGACTCTAAATACATATATCCTGAGAGTTCCTCACATTCGCCTATTAGTAGGTGAACATATTCAGCTGCCGGAATTGCAAAACTATAATCCACGATTCCATCATCCGTCTCTTGAGTACAGTGATTATTGCGTTCTGTATTTGGTTCACTTTGCTGTCGATATGCTGCGCATTATGCAGGATATATCGATGCAAAATCTAACTATGAAGTTCCCCAACGCCATGCCCGGACAACTGAAGATTGGCATTTCGCATGGACCAGCGCAGTCAGGTGTTGTGGGCCAATCCCGCTTCTATTTTGACATCTGGGGCCAAACCGTCAACTGGGCCTCGATTATGGCAGAGAAGGGCGTTACTGGCCACATACATGTCACTGAAAACACGGCGCGAACATTGAGCCTATTCGATATCAAATGCTATTATCGCGGCCTCGAGGATAACCCAATCGAGGGCAGAAGTTCCACATACCTCGTCGACCTGAACGACGAGCTCAACTTCCAACAGGTCGATGAGGCGTCTTGGCTTCAGTTCCCTAACGACGACAGATCGGCTAAATCCAAAAGCCGAAAGACTGTCAAGTATGATAGGCGGGACGAACCCAGTAGTGATGGAAAATATAAAAGTCAATAGCTGACTAAACTGAAATAGAATATGATCTGATAGCATGGCGGTATCGCAATATAAAAACAATTTCGTATATAGATATATTACATATAGATATATTTGTATATAACATATATTCGTATAATACAGATTATTCTGGGTAAGGATTAAAACATATTTCATGGGCGTTTACTCAGTTGTCTGACATATATAAAATACATATATGTATATATAGATATATATGGTATATGGTATATATTAAATGTATATAACTCATAAATTATTTACTATTATAATTAAAAACACGCATTTCAACTTTAACATTTCGTAGAGCTTTTGAGATGAACGAAAAACGAAGCACCACACGGTCAATAGCATCCTCCATTTTGGGATTTGTTTTCTGTTTTGTGCAGAGTTTTGAGCTTAAGTTATGATTGCAGCTGGTCATTGGGGGCATCGGCTCAACTTTACTCGTTTCCATTGGCTGTGAGCAGAGCCGTATCCTCCGGTATGGGTTTTCGCTTATACGACGGCTCGGTGGCCAGATAAACGACAAGACCGCCGAACACCACATAGAGCACGCCGATAATGTTGGCCAATACGCCAGCTGAGGGCAGCGTGGAATAGTTGGGGCTAGACAAAGATAAACATATATGGAGCATTAGCCGGGTTATAAGCGTTTATAAATTCAGATAGCATACATTGCAAATATGGCCTTCTCGGTGAGTCCCATAACAGCGCTGGCGATGGCCAACACAAAGCCAAACAGTCCAAAATATATGTGCAGCGGCATCAGGGCAATCTTATAGTTCTCCCGCATGCCGGGCACCAGAAAGGCCATAAACCCGGCGACGTACTGCAAGCAGAAGATGATGACAGCGGAGAGGCCCAGCCACGAGTGCAGCGAGTACATATTGGGAATGGGCGGATCAACCAGATTGTGCGAATCGAAGACCGTCTTCAGCGCAATCACCGTCAACACGAAGGCGGCCATGTGAATGCCGGCGTGGGTGAGCTTCAATGTCTTCTTGCGTGTGGTGCGAAAGCCGCGATAGATGAGTATGGCTGCAAAAGAATTGCATTGGAGTGGCCGATTAGTGGCACCTTTTCCGGCCTGGTTAACTAACTAACTAGCTGAGGGGCAGCTACTCACAATTGCCATACAAGTAGATAAAGCCAATGGTCATAAATAGCGGATGCCAATTGAACTCCTGCTTGGGATTGTCAGTGCCGCCCAAGCCACCGAAATGCTGCCCGATCCAGGTGCCCACCAGCACAATCATCGTCAAGCCGCACAGCTGTGTCAGCACATAGAGCACCTTAAAGTTGATCAGCATCGGATCCATATTGGATTTGTTGTTGCCTAAAAAAAGATGTAAATAAATGAGACAATAAGAAGGAGTTGGCTGGAAAGTATTGTATTTGAACAGTTTAAGTTCTTTAACATAGATTAATAGATTGCATACAAAAGTCAGCGCTAAGCAGTCCAAAGTATGCGCTAAGCAGTCCTAAATTTCATATTTGCACAATATTTTTTAATTAAAAATAAAGAATTTTTATTTATTATGTTTATCTAAACATTCAGCTGTACTGAAGCAGGCAGAACATTCTTCTGTATACATATTGTTGCTCTGATCTATTTTTAGAATTTTTTTGCGTTACTTGGTAATTGACCCGACATTTTCGCCATAGCTGACACATGATATCATAGCGAAATTCAATAAATTTCAGAGCATACGCGTCGACAAGGCATAGAATACCGCATTCAGTTGTAATTCCAATAAATCTAGCAATAAACAAAGACTCATCTAACAGCGTCGCCAGCAAACTGAGATCTCTAAGCAAACAAGCCAGCACGCTCTGATACCAAATATAGATATAGATTATTAGATTACTTCGCCCCCCAACTGGAGACACGCCTCTCAACTGATATTGTAATTGTTTTTCCAACTATAAGATGAGAGGCAGAGACTAGCCTATGCCTTGCCTGGGAGCCTCTTATCAGGGAAGTGCGTGTAAACATTGTCTAGCAGCCACTTCGGCAATCTTTGGCAAAAAAATGATACCAAATCGCTTTAAATAGCATTGTTCAGCGTGTATCTATTGTATGGGGTTTGTCGGGCGTAAGATGAACAAGAAGAGAGAGGGGCAGATAGAGAGAGATAGAAAATAAATGGCAAATGAATTAAAAAATTGCTGTGCTTCTCTGATAAATTGAAATGTTTGCACTCATGTAGGGAATAATAATTTACTGAGTGTTGAAAACGCGACTAGAAGTTAGATAAATAATAGAACTAAATGAACTGTAAAGAAGACGATACACTTTTAACAGCAAGATCTTATGAAGAACGTGAATTTGAAGGGGAAATTATATGTATATTATTCATTATTTATGATTTTAACAGAATGCAGAGAGAAATGATCTGTTTTAGAAATTTCAAAGGAATTTTATAAAATTTAATGCTATTTTCACATTTTAAAATAGTAGTAGTAGTAAATAGTAGTAAATATGAGTAAAATAAAGTTCACAGCACAATATGTTAGTGTTTTATTATTCTATACACTACTATTTGCTAATAAAGTACTATATACTACTATATAGTACCTTATATACATACTTCTTGCATATGGCATAGTCAAATGAGCTCACCTCTGGGTTCAGTTACCTAGTTGAGAGAAACCTTGTAACAGGCCATGCTCAGATAGCGAATTTTTAACATTTCACTTATCAGACGCTTTAATTAAAGTTTTTTTTTTTTTTTTTTTCTTATGCAAATGAGTTTTTAATTCTCAATTGAAAAAAGAGTCAAGATAAACCGAATGTGGCACAGTCTTTTCATTAGATTTCTTTTGTGTTTGTCTGGCACGTGTCACAGTTATACAATCGACAACATTTTCGGTTAGCTCCATAATTTTGTGGCAAGTGAAATGAATTGGACATATTCGAATGTTAATTAGGGTGCAGATTATAGTTAATTGACTGTTAGTTAAGCAGCCGTGCTGCAGTCGTTGCTGTTCGGCAAAGCGTTGCAACAGATCGTGCGCAAAATTTGAAGGTAATGGGCAGAAGAAAATACAGACAATACATAAATAATCCACATAAAAAGTAAAACTTTTTGAAGATGCGACGCCGATGACTTTGGAAAAGCGTAAAAAGTTGAAAACAGCAAAAGTAAAATAAATAAAGCATAAAACATAAGAGAAAAATGCTGAAAAACTAAAGTGAAATTCAACTTGGTGCGAAAATGTTGTTGACTGAGCAAACTGATGCCGAGAGAGACACACAGAGAAAGAGGGCGAGGCAGTGAGACAGCGTTCGCCAAAGAAGGAGGCGAAGCACGAGGATGAGCAATGTTAATGCAATTGCATTGGCACACGTTTGCCCTCTCCCTCACTCTCGCTTAAACCTATCACTTTTACGCATGTGTGCGTATGTGTGTGTGTGTGTGTGTGTGTGGATTTGTTTGAATTTCTTTCTTTCTACGCTTGTCCGTCCTGCTCGTCCGGCTGACCGGTGTCTGCGTTTTATTATAACTTTTACTAATTCGAAACTAAAATGTTGAGCGCTGTTATTGGTGAGCTGTTGATTTTTTGAAAGCTATTTGTTGCGCTTAGTATTGGTTGCTGTTGTTATTGTTTTTGTTGTACCTTTGCTTGCGGTCGACTCGACGGCGGCAGCAGCTGCTGGTTGCACTTGTTCCGTTATTGTTGTTGTCGCCGTTGCTGCTTGTTGCTTTTGCTCCTCAACCGCCTTGCCGCTGCTATCGCCATTTGTTGCCGCTGCTGCTGCTGCTACTACTGTTATTGTTGCTGTTGGCTCGGCAATAGTGACAGGCTCGGCCTTAACTTCGATTGAAGTCGTCGTCTTCGTCGCCTGCGCCGCCTGTTCAATATCCATATCCTTTGACATTGTGCTTACACTTTTTACAAAAATCAATACACAAATGGTTGTTGGCTAATGACACTGATTAACATCTAATCCAGCTTTGATTTGCATGCAATGGCATATGAGTAATACAACTCGAAAGACAGTAGCACAGAGAGACACGGGACACAGAACCAATCAACGCAACGACATTCACAACCGAACACCACAAAGTGCAATGCGCAACTGAATTCAAAGTTGGCGCTTTGCTCAAAGCAGAGCAGCAACGTCGCAACGGAGCAGCGACGCTGGCAGCGGCAAGCTTTAAAAAAACAACGTTGCTCGCATGCGAGTTTTGACTACTGAAAAAGCTTTTAATATTTTTTCAATGCTCATCAAGTTTCTTAATTATTAACTATAATTTAAGAAGTTTGTTTGATGCACATTCGAGAGCGTAATGTGTTGGCCATTGTCTAATTGAAATTGGCATGCAATTGGTTAGCCCAACCTTGTTGTTGTTGTTAATATGCTAGGCATACGCTACGGCTATTACTGAAGTCAGCAAGGGGGAGGGGTTGGGCGCAGCTGTACATTCCTTTGATTCCATTGAAATGGAATTTTTTCTGAGCTGCATTTCAATTGAGGTGTTGGTTTGCAAATAACATGTTCTATGCATAATAATTGCAACCACAATGGCTATTCACATTCACAGCCTCACTCACAGCCTCTCTCTCTCACACACACTCAATTACACCCACACACTTACCCAGTGTGAATAGCATGTCGTATGCTTGATAATATTTTGCTTGTTTCCTTTTTGCTGCTGTTGTTTAATTTGAATTTTAAGCGGCTTATCAAACGTGTTCGATTGCCAGAGTTTTTAGATAATGAAATGTTGACTTGCAAGTATTTTTAACTAATTTTATCTTTGTCAGCTGTCTTCACTTGTTGAACTAACTGCGTTGTTTGCAGGATTCGAGCTGTTCTCGGGTACATCAAAAGTCATCCATATGGAAGCAGCGAAAATGTCTGCAAAGGCAGCGTCGCCTACGCAATACCCCTCAAAAAGCATCCACAGCAGCGGCGAAAGCTTTTCTTCAAAAGCTTTTAGAACCTAATACCAACAAATCACTTTACACAAACACTCAATCTTTGTTAACCACTTGTTGGATATTATGGATACAGTCATGCAATTTGTTTATAATGCAGTTTTTAAATATTACAAAATATTACTTACGGTATTGTGTGTCCAATCGCTAAAAAGTGTAACAAGCGCCACGTTTATTCTTTGTTTATTGGTTTAGTAGCACGCGACTGCCAAAAATCCAAACACAAGAGCCACAGCGATATTTACCACAACTGAGCGATCCAAGCAAACCACAACAGAGCGGCTGACTCGTCAGCGTCAGCGCTGACGTCGGCATAGGCAGAGAAAGCAAATAAATGAGATCAAAAGAGCAGCAATCAGCGCGCGCCAAAGCCATTGACCGACTATCAATCGTTGTCATTCGGCATTATCATTACAAAAACTATAAACAAGTTCAAGGTTTCACTTTCAGTCGTAGCACCTTGTAATCGATCTGGATGGCCTTACATTTTGAATTATTTGTATTGTTTACTCATTTGGAAAAGGCGGTTGTATCAAATATCAGCTGGCTATAGAGATGAACGTTAATATAGTGCACCTGTAGCAACACTATCGTTTTAAGCTTAAATATCGCTTGTTTTGCATATCGATAGCTTTGTGGTACTTACATCGCTAAAGGTTAGCAACAACAAAAACTGCAGTTTAATTTTATTTTTAATTTATTACAATTAAATGCAATATGCTTTCCAATCTAATTGTGACCAATCAAAAGGTCGTATTGATAATTGGTGAGTAAATTTTGATTATAAATGCCAAAACAAAATGAGTAAACACATCACTTGATTTTGCAGATCAACTAAATCGAGATCGTATCGCGCTAAAATTCATTACCAGCCTGTTAAGCGAGCAGGGCGAGGGCAATGATATTAAAACACTGCCAATTGGCACGCAATTGAAGCACGTGGCCAACTTTGATGCGCTGCTGAATGATTGCGCCAACAGTGCAAGTAATCAACAATCAAATCCAACTGATCCCATCACAACAAAGACTGGCTACAATGTAATTCTGCCAACGTTGGCGGATTTGCTATGTTATCAGACTCCTGCCTTTATTTTTGACTATCTAAATAAGTTGCGCCAGTCGGAGCATGTTCGACGTGTTTTCCTGTGGGCGTCACCGATGCATCTACAACATCCAGACGCCGACTATATTCTAGCTGGCTGTGAGTATATGGCAGAGCTGGTGCTACGCTTGGAGACAGACAGCACCTTGTCTCTGATTTCCCGAAAGCCGGCCGGCGGGGTGACCAACAAACGCTACAAGTGCCAAGTCAGCAAGACAGAGTTCAACGTAAAGCCTGTGACGGAGGGTGCCGACACGACGTCTTCACCTGTTACCACAACACAGGAGACACCAGATATCTCAGATCCCGGTCGCACCTTCAAAATTGAATTGGATGAGGATGAAGTTGTGGCACGCAATGCACTCACATTACCATATGAACGGTTAGTTTCATGAGTTCCCCATTAATCAATTCATTAATTCTCTTATCACCTTCACAGAACCAGTGAAACGGAGGAGGGCAACATCATCTACACACCAGATGCCAATGATGACTTCGATGAGGAAGATCCAGATGAGGATTTGTTAATTAAAATGTGCTCGCATAGCGATCGGCAGTACAAGCCTTGGCTTTAAATACTTAAGTCTATTATACAAATACATCCATTGAATATATACATACCTTGTAAGCGAGCTCAAACTGAAATTCGTGTCGTAAATGAAACCAATCTTATAGTTGCATAGTTCAAAAGTTTATACTAAACGGTAAAGTTATACGAATATGTCCAGTGTTACAATTGCATCGCATAGTTACTTAAAGGCTAACAATAATAATGTTTGTAATACTCATTAAAAACTTGCGAGCATTCAAGATGCAAGTCCCCAAACTCATTCCCATCTTACACATATCACAACATTATAAAAGAAGCAAGGATTTGAGTTGAATCTTAATCGGAAAGAGTTTGAAAAGTGTGCAGAAGATTGAAGGCAAAACACTTAAGATTAGGGTGACGAAATCGAAAGTTAATATGCTCTTGCATAAGCTCATTATCATAATGGACGATTCTGTATATAAGGTAATTATTGGTATTCTATCTAGATAAATTTGTTAATATATATATATACAGATCTATTTGGAACTCTATAGATTACAGTATAAGATTTCTTAATGGAAATCAGGTTTCTCCTCAAGTTTAAGCTCAGGTGCATAAAATTAACATTGGCATCTAAAACTAAATAAAAATCGTGTATCGGTGCTTATGCAAGGGTCGAGTTAACTTTCAATTAATTTGAGTTCTGTGTGCGTTGAGCATAATATTGGATCTAAAAGGTTCTTATCGAAAATATGATTATTAAGTATTCGTACGAGATGGCTAAAAAACACACGGAGCGAGAGACATTCACAGCTATGTACAAAAACAATATGAATAACAAATGGTAAAAAAAAAACTTCAATGGTTGCGTTTACGAAAATGGCTATAACAAATGACTCAACCTATATATCGGCGCTTGAGCAGCGACTACATGTCGCTCTTGGGATCCGGAGCCAGCGAGCTCCAGGTGGTGTCTCGACAAAGCGGCAGCTCCGGCAGCACGCTATTTCCGTCCACGATGCAGGTTTCACGCAGTAGAAAGAATTTGCCAACCAAATCATCGATCCGGCTGTACAAAGGCTGACCAATGAGTTCCGCATGAGCTAATGCCTCATCGAGTAGGGTCTTGACTTCGTTCGCGCTGGGCAGATGTTGCTGCCACTCCGCGGGCATCTCAAAGTTAGCGGGCAGCGACACAGCTTGACCACCGTTCTGAGCACGTGCAGCTGCTGCTGTATGAATAGGCTCACCGTTGGCATAGGCCAGGGGAGCGACTAGAAACTTGAGCTGCGCATAGATGGAGGTGCGTCCAATTAGCTTGGCTGTCCAGATGCCGGGCGTAAGCGGGCGCTTGAGTAGCGTCTTGGAGTGGTTGATAACATCGACTTGGGAGTCCTCCACATGCAGCTCATTGAAGTCCTGCAGTCGATCGAATGGATCCAGCCAGATCAGCGTCAAATTGTACGAGTGCGATGTGTCCTGTGAGCCAGCGACTCCCTGATATGTATAGCTCAGCATTAGATCACTGTGTGGACCCAACAGCTTGGCGAAGTTGCGCGCCACCTGCTCCTTCTGATCGAAGTCCGTGGAGACCTCAAAGTTGCGCAGGCGCTTGGTGACACGTGAATTTTTCGCCACTTTTCCATGCTGCACCGGCCGCACACGCGACTCCAGCTGCAGCTCTTTGGAAGTGTTCCTTACCAGTGCACTGTAGCGCACTAGGAATCCCTTATACTGATCCCGATGCAGGTAATGTGTTAGCTCCAGCAGCTGCACTGCATCCAGCTTGAACTGCTGAGCAGACTGGCGCATTAGGCTGTCGCCAACTGTCCGCGCCAGATCATCGCCAGCACCGTGAACATCCTCGTGGTGGTAGAGCGACTGCCAATAGCCACGTAGATTGACGTACTCGCTGGTGTAGGGTCCAAAGAGCCACTCCTCCAGCTGCAGCAGCACCGCCTGATTGATAATCGGCTCGAATTTGCGCGCAAAGAACAGAGACTTCGTCGCGGTAGACTCTAGCCGCGGCCAGTCCTCAGGCTTGAAGTCATTCGGACTGCAGCCGCACCAGTCCACCACGTGCTTGTACTGACACTTGCAGCCCTGCTTGCGTTTCCAGTTGGTCACATGCAGATTGTTGTCCACATAGGTATCGCAATGCTGCGTGTTGCGCAGCACCGTATGGAAGAAGGATTCGGCGGGTAGCAGGGTGTGCCGGAACAAGTGCAGCAGTGCCTGCAGCAGCTCGTCATCTATAGCCGGGTGCGTTACATAGTTGACGAATGGACGGGATAGCGCCACCCAGTCGCTGCCACCATCCACCTGTATTCCGGCTGGCAGCTTGCGATCGCCAATGCGCCACATGTGCGTATCGCACTCCACGAACGTCTTGTCCAGGCCCTGCTTCTGTATGAAGCGCTGCGTTTCACGGCCATGGCCTTTGACAAAGTTACGGCCACGATTTGCGCTCAGAAATTCGACCAGCCTGTCCAGCGTCTTTACAGGAAAATCACTTTCGCTCAAATTGATGACAAAGTCCCATTCCCAGCTGGACTGCAGCAAATCTTGCATGCACTGCAGCAGCATGGTCAGCAGCGAGGCGCCGCCCCAAATTGTCGAGAAACGCTTCCGTGCTAAACGTATATTGGGAAACTTTGGCTCCAGTTCCAGCAATTTACGATACAGATAATCCTGACGCTGTGGAGAGAAAGCGAGTATGAATGAAAGTTTGTAAATGAAGTTGCAGCTATTCTAAGTCTCACAATACGAGTTTTAGAATTACTTCTAAGATTGCTATAAATCATGTTTATAAGGCTTAATATCTATTACATACAGACATCATATACAAATTCAGCTGTGCACCACTGTATGTATTCTCTACAACTTGATACCAAGCTTATCATATTACCCTATATATTGTATGTCATATAGCACATATACTTGTTCATTCAGACTTAAATTCTACAACCGCTCAAATTCTACTACAGCTGCGAGGCGTTAAATTCCGCGTAATTAACACAAATTGTGGAACTGGCTTTAATTACGAAATCCGGTGGCATTGCCTCACCTCCGCACCGCCATCGCATCGCTCGACCACTCACCGCATCCACGTGTATGTAGTAAATGTGCTGGGGCGCATATAACGCGCGCAGCAGTCGGTGGACCTGACGAAGGGCGCGACCGTTCAATGTCAGCAGAAATGCAATGCGAACGGCACGTGGTTCTTGCCCCGGCGCTAGAGTGCTGACTGCCAATTGTGGCGTAAATTCTGCAAAAGATTAGGAATATTGTAGAAATCATAGATTTTATTAGTTGATTGAGTCACGCCACTTACTGGCAATGCCCGTTTCATAGACATTCATGGCATAGATACCGCCACAGATTTCCTTGGCGTTGCCTATGCATTTCATATTGCAACTTGAGTCGGCCAGTTTGGCGGAACTAGGGGGCGTATCGAAGCCGCAGAAGCATTCGCGGGCGTATTGCACACCCGCATACGGATAACCGGACTGCAGGCAGAGTTCCACACAGCTGCCTGGTGAATTGGACGTTTTGAAGCTGGTAAAGTAGCCACCCAGCAGGCGTGAATCCCTCTCATCACGATAGCAACCCAGCGATACATTGGCTCTATGGTTGCCTGCGGGACAGCTGCTCTGAAGATGGGTCGCATAGAAGCGTCCGGCTTGAATGGCACAGGCTATGCTGGCGATATGTTGACGGCAGTCTTTCGTCTTGGCACGCTGCAGTGCCGATATTGCTTCCTTGGCATTGATATCACATTCGGGCTCAAAGCCCAGTTCCTTAGAAGTTATGCGTAAGTGCTTACCACCAGCCTGCACAGGAGTTGGCCTGGTAATGGGCTCTGGTGGCGGCGCTTCCGCCTCCCGAGCATCACGATGCGTGCGCAGTGCGCCCGCTAAATCCAGCTCAACCGATTTGTAAGCCAGAAATAGTTGGATGGCAACAATTAAAAGTAATATTACAAAGCAGACACGATAGCGCCGCAGCCATCGCACGGATAACGATGACTTCTGCTCCATGGCCAGCTCTGAAGATGCGCACGTTGGTTGTGGCAGTTAAACCGCGTGCTAATGCTTGTGGCTCTCGTAGTTCTATGGCTGCGATGCAGTGGCATGTCCAGCGCTTCTATTATTAGTGCGAGCCTTAAGCCTAATTAACATTTATAAGTATTTACAACCGCTGCACTCCCGCATTCCACTTAGAATACTGATTCCGTACCTAACTAATATATCGATAGGCTACGATAGGCATCACGATGTTTGTATATATCATTTTATTTTCATTAGCGATATTCCATTGCATTTTGTATGCGGCTCATGTTTATTGTGAGAAAAGTAACAGCGGACATAAGGTAGATTTAGAAGTGTGACCAAGCTAAGTCATTAGGTATTCCGGCAATAACTAGATAGTTTAACTAATTAAACACTATTCAAAGAAATTAGGCCATTGTGCTAAATCAATCCAAAAATAATCTTGAATCTGTGCCACTGCTGAGTGCTGACTGCCAAGCCATAGTTAATACTCCTAGAATTTGTGGCTTGCTCTGCGATCAGCATACTTGCCATTAAGCAGCAACAAACATTTTCTGCAATGGTTGATCCAAATCGTAAAATCAACAGACTTTCAGACAAAGATATTAGGTTTTTAGAAGAATGCGAGGAGGAGTTCGGTGCACGCTACACAGAAGATGATGACGAATTTATGGCGCATTGCGCTAAGCCGTTGCCGGATCCGCCTCTGATAGAGAATTGGTTAAGTGGCAGCGGTGCACCTGGTGGAGGTGGAGGTGGCGGCTTTTCCAACAATCGTTATAATGGCGGTCACCGTCGAGGAGGCGGCGATCGTGGATGGCAGAGACGTGGTTACAATTACAACAATCACAACAACAACAACGATCGCAGAGGTAAGCGAATTAGATGTACAGAAAATCGAAATTCACTAACCAGTGCCATCTATAGATCACCGACGCAACAATTATGAAGCGTATCCACGCAGAGACCGAGGTGGCGGTAACAAAGGAGACAGATCCTCGGAGCGCCACTATCAGCATAGAAGCCGCAATGAGTCGCAGCAGGGCGGTGCGCCCATGCAGGTCAGGCGGGACTATGGGAACTTTGTGCCTGCCTCCAAAGACTAGCGTTAAACCTACGTGTTTCCTTGTTCATCATTATGAAAAGAATCGTACTCACACACAGATATTTATATATATTATATATAGATGTATAATTCGATTTCAAATGTGATTTTAGCCTTAATATCTAGTTGATAAGTTCCTGTTTGTGCCTTAGACAGCCGACTCTGATAGATCCTTGGCCTTCTCATCTGCTGCCGCAGCCGACATGCCCACGCCCATGGCATTAAATAGATTGGACACGGGACCAGCGCCGCCCATTTGTGATTTATAACTGTCCATCATGTTGCGCAGCGTATTCACGTTAATATTTATCGGCTCAAAGTCCTCAATGTCATCGAAATCATCCTCCGCAGCATGGTGCTGCTCCGTGGAGTTAGTAGCTGTACTACTCTTGGCATGGAACGACTTGCCGATGGTTGTTTGAGCTAGTTCCCGATCCATTTGCTCCATATACGCCTTGATATTTCGGTCCAATCGATAGTTGGCGTCGCCACCACCGCTGGCATTGGACAACGCATCAAAGTTACGCTCTATATCCTCCTCGTCCGCATAGTCACTCATTTCGGAAGTGGAGTCCCAGTTGTCCTCGGGTATCACAAAGTCCAGAAAATTGCGCACATGTGTGCTGTCCTGTTCATCAGATTGAATCAAGGAGCTTCGCTTGCAAGCCTTCCTCATCGAAGCGTTCTTTTTCACCTTCGCATTGCTGCTGGTCGCACTTGCTGGCGCCGGCGGCTCGTCGTCATCTGAGTCGAGCTCGTCAGCGGCTTCACCCGGCCCTTCAATACCTTCAAAGTTGGATTGCCTGTCCAAGAACTGAGACAAATGCTTTGTGAATTCCTCTGCATTCATGTCGCCGTTGGGGTTGTATAGTTTTTGTGGGCCATAGCGCTGCTGCAGCATTGCATCCAGATCCTCGGCTGTGATGTTCAGCCAATCATCTGCATCGCTGGGCAGCAGATTATTCTCTTCGTCACGGAGGAGCTCCGCGGCACTGCCTTCGGCAGGATGCAACAGCATATCCACTATTTCGGCGCCCACCAACGGTGCCGTACGAAACCGTTCCTGGTTGCGCTTAAAGTACTCCTTGGCTGTGACCAACAGACGTTCGTACTCCGCACTGCCCTCGATGTTATCCCGGAAATAGCCCTTGCCCTGCAAACTGCGCAGATATGCACGCCAAGCAGGTGATTTGTCGTCCAGCTGGTCGCCAGCCCGTTTCGCCTGGCTGGCAAGTATTTCCAAGCCGCTGGCCAGCTTTACGCCCAACAGCTGTTCCTTGTAGCACTCTGGATTCGCAACGGCGTCTGTCAATTTCCAGCCCAGTCGGCGCTCCGGTGTATATTGGCTATGCATTAACATGGCATATAGATAGCGAGTGAAGGCGACATTTGTGCGTTTCCTTGGCGTTTCAGGTGGAAAGTAGCGCATGGTACGCAAAGCCTTTGAGTCGATTGCATCCCTTTCGCAGAAAGCGCGCACAGCGGACGCGACTAGACCAGGCCGCTGCTTAAGTAGTTGTGCCGCATTCTGGGGCAGCTGTACGATTTGCCGATGAATGGATGCGTGACGTGTTGCTGGCTGAAACTCTTGAAGACGTGCCTCAATACAGTTCTGAATGTCACGGGAACAGCGGTAGAGAGTGGGATTTAAACGTATGCGCTGCACTGCTTTAGCCATGGGCATTCGTTTGCTGTCGCTGGTGTTGGATGCATTCTGCAACAGCTGCAGCCCGCCATTGACAAGGTAGACGCGCTGCTCACACGTCTCGGGACTCGCCCAGTCGGGCAGCACATCGGCTGCCTCGATAAGCAGAAACTCACCGTCGCCATCGAACACGCGCGCTATGCAGTCCGGTCGCGAGCGGGTCAATTCGCTCAAGAGATAGACAATGAACCATTCGTCGCCAATATTGTCGCCATAATGCGTGACGCCGTGCAAATGGGGCGGTAGAATACCTAAAAACGAGTCAAATTTGCTATAGCTAAATATAGAGCTGTATTAATAATGAGCGCTTACCCTCGGGCTCCTCCTCCTCCTGCTTGTTGTCTTCCTCGTTGAGCAGCCGTTCCTCGGCACTGCCCGTGCGCACTTGCAGCTGAAATTCATCCTTGTTCCATATATAACAGCGTTCCGCCACTTTCTTTTCCACAATGGACATGCAGTCCGCACGCACTTGCTCTAGCTGCTGACGCACTTGTTCATCACTCGTTTTCTCGTCAACGTCATCTAGCTTGGGAAATATATAGTACTCGACAAAGTCATCCTCGCGCACGAACTCCAAGTTGGCACCTGGCAGCTTGTTCATTGTCTTTGTTGTCTGCCTTTGTTTTGGTCTCAGTGACTCAGGCGCAGGCCAAGAGAGTGTGTATCCCTTGTGGGCGCTGTTGGTTGCCAAAAAACAGCAAGTATTCTGTTTACACAATAAATATACTACAAATGGCACTTTTAGCGAAAATCGCAACTGTTTTTAAATAAATTTTCATTTATTATTGGCAAAATATTCTTTTTTTATTGGAACGGGGCTGTTGCTGTGACCACTCGCAATGCTATCGACAAATCACCGATATCGATATCCATTTCGATAAATCAACCGATTTCTGCTAACGTGTAATATTTTACTTGAATTTTAAAAAGGGATTGGGACCATTTTATTGCATAAGATTCTCATTTTTTTTTTATTACCTAAGCGAGACGTATAAATATATAAATGCTTATTGAGCTTCTTCTCTATTACAGTTAATGGATAATTGACATGCGGATCAATAAAAATATTCATATTTCTGGGCATGCAGCAGCATCACCTCCATGGACTTCTTGCCTTGCAGCACTCCATTGCGTTCCATGTAGTTCCAAATGGAAGCCATAAACAGGCAGAATAATATGACGCCAAATACGATGAACTTGAGCAGTACATAAATCGTCTGAAGTCCCACCGGAGGATCAAATTCAATCAGCAAAACAAGGATTACAAATAGAACAGTCGCTGCACTATAATATAATAGACGATCAGTATTCAACTGCAAGAGGGAAGCTTCGCATAGAGCCAGTGCCTCATTCAACGCTGCTGTGCGAGCAGCAGGCAAGGATTGGGCATTAGCTGTGCAGCCATTGCCATTAACTGCTTCAGTTCCTTTTATTGCACCGCCAGCATCATCTGCCGGGCAAACATCTTCACCTATATTGCACTCAACATCTTCCGTATTAATTGCATTTCCAACCGCTGCTTCATTGCGCCCACACGACGTTGGCAGACGGGTAAGTCTTAGTTTAGCCATCACAGCTTCATGATCCGAGAAACTGAACTTCTGTCCAGGCACGCGCTCTGGGAATGGTAGTGTATATTCAATTATATCTGCCTTTATATTATCAGCGCCCCTCACGAAAATATGATCAATCCGTATGCCCAGGGGATTCTTGGCCAGGGCACTTGCCGATGTGTACGAGTTCCTGCTGCACTCATTTGTCCGAAGCGAGTCTGAGGCACAGCTGTCTGTCATCTTTGAAGTGAGTAGCAGAACCTTATACGAAATGTCCTGAGGTTGAGTATTGAGATCACCAGCCAGTATCTGGAGCACCGAAGTACCTCGCGTAGCCTCTATGAATTGGGCCGTGTCGAATGCTTGTATCACACGATGCGTTTTGTATTCATCGTTGTCATTGTCGTATTCGGCATGTAAATGGGCGTTGTACAGATGAATGATTTGATCCTTGACCAGAATGCGACAAAGGCCCACGCCCTTGCCACCAAACCAATCGGCGTGCTGTATGCGATGGAAGTAGCCGTTGACAGACCAGGCATGGAATAGCGTTCCCAGAATTGGATACTTGGAGAGCACCAACAGGCCTGCGCCCATGACTCCACTGTGAAAGTAATGGGAATAGGGCAGGACACTGGCCGTGCTCTGCTGGAGTTGCTCGCTGTCATGCTGTGACCAGACTTCCTGCAAGGACACTATGTCATACTGACCGCTGCTCAGTTCCTTGCTGATGGCCTCGATACGTGGCGCGCGGTTGCTGGAGACAAGTGGAATGCCCCTGAAGTGTATGCAATTGCAAATTATAATTGGATTTAGGCGAGACGGGCGACTGCAAGGCGAAACGGTTTTGGCCGCGTGACCAAATTGAGAAAAACATACCATATGTTCAGCGTAAGAATTTTTAGCTCCAATAGCAGCATTTTGATATGTGTCGTGTTTATGACTGCCTCATCAGCTATCACTGGCGTACTTCGTACGCCTGCCGCGACGCGATAAGATTAAAATTTTTGTTTCCAAACAAATCAGCTTAGCATTTGTAGTCAGCGCATTTCTCTTTGAGCGCAATTTTGAGCGCAGTGAAGTTGGCTGCGCGCAACTAATTTTCTCTCGTGAAGTTGGCTGTGCGCGATTGTAGGTGCTGAAACATGGGAGAGCACATGAAACAAGAATATTAATTTAAATTTATTCGGAAAACAAATCAAACAGTCAAATATGGCTCGAACGGAACTCGATATGAAAAAGCAAAAGCGTAAAGCGAAAAAACGTAAACATGAAACTCAGGCAGTGCCGAGCGACGACGAGGTGGCCAACAAAAGTTTAATTGTGGAGGATCAGGTAGCGGCAGGAGCTCAAAAAGCAGAAAAACAGGCCAAAAAAAGTATAAATCTCATTCATATAACAAATATATATAGGTATATATATGTTTCAATCGACCCGTCGTTATTTACAGACAAAGCTGCCAAGCGCAGACAACAATCAGACCAAGACGCCATCAAAGAAAAACGCAGTAAGCAAATAGAAGAGCCTGAAGAAGACGCCGTAGAAGATGAAGAGTTGGATGACTTGCCCACAGCAGACCTGCTGGAGCAGGCAGCCAAGCCAGAGAATTCAAATGCCATTGTAACGGTACGACAGAAGAAAAAACAAAAACACTTGCAACGGTTGGAGGAGCAAAAAGACCAGAATGCCGATAAGGAAAGCAGACGCAATGAAGAGTATCTTAGGAAGTGGCGGGACAGTCGACAAGATTGGAAATTCGAGAAGCTGCGACAGATTTCCATACAACAAACCGCCTTCAATGAGAATAAACTGAGTGCCGATATATGGCCCATCGCCTTGGAGTATTTGGCGGGCTCTAAAGGCGCCGCGAAGGCAACCATCATCAAATTGGCCGAAGACGCCATACAGGAGATGGATAAACAGTGTGAGGGGCTCAGCGAGGAAGCAGAGCGACAGAAAATCGTTGATTCCGTACGATATCAGCGAGCTCGCAACTTGTTACAGAGTTTCGACTAATCGTTAGTTTATAGTTTCAATAGAATAGCTTAAATGCGTTGTTAATTTTAGAGTTTAATAAACATTAGACAAAATGTTGTAATTTATAAATCTACATAAGCCAATAGCTTGTCCAGATGCTCGATGCGCTGTCGAAGAAGCTGTTGTTGCTCCTCCTTGTGATCCTCCAGTTTCTCGAGCATAAAGTGCTGCATAAATAAGCGAATGCTCTGCTTGAACTGCTGCAGTTTGGAGTTCTTAGTTATTCGCTCGAATGCTTGGTAGAGTTGACTCTCCTCGCTGGACAGCAGCAGCCGCGTCATGACCTCGCGCATAAAATAAAAACTAAGCTTATGCAGCTGCATAAAGTCTACAACTTTCAGTACGGACAGTTGGAGGCCAGACGAAAGGATCAGCTGCTGCAGAAAGCTGGCGAAGTTGCGTATCTGAATTTTCGAAAGGGATTCAATGTCATTGATGCGATCCCAGCTGGCGAACTGGAAGGCCAGCTGAAACTTGCGATTGTACTGACAGAATTTCAGTGCGAGGTGGGCATAGTAGGGATTCGCATGTCGCTCATTGAGCGCACAGTGTATAATCACATAGGCAACGGCTCGCTGATCTTTCAGGGACAAATGCAGAATTTTTTCGAATGCATCCACGTAGTCGGCGGCGCTCATGATAATACAGAAGATGCTGCGACGTTCGGCTGTGTTCATATGCTGCTTTTTGGCTAGCTGCAGTAACTTTTCCGAGTAACGCTCGCCTCGCGGTTGCTGTTGTTGCTTCTCTTGTTCTGCTTGTGCCGGTCCCATTTCAGCCAGATTGCCCGCCCATGCCGAGCCAACTATCCACCATTTTCCCAACTTATCGGCACGTAGCAGATCCTCCAAGGTGATGTTCAGTGTGACAACATAACGATCATTGCGAAGCATTCCCTTGAGGCGCTTGCGAAGCGTTTCTGCCAGCTCAGGATCATACTGAGGCAACTTACTCATGTTGTTGTTCTTCACGGCATTGAGAATGTCAACCATAAAGCGTAAGCGAGGATTCTCCTTTAACTCCAATGGCGATGACGCGATTTGCGACTGCACGTTCTGCATCATGTTCTTGAAGGCCAATGGATCATCTTTGCGTAAACGAAATCCAACGGTTTGGAAGATCAGAAGCAGACACTCAACTGACTTCTCACACAGGCTACCCGCAAGGCGAGCAATCAGCTCCAGTAGCAAGCGCTGCTCGTAGATCTTAAAGATGTACATGTAGCACAGGACGAGCACCAAATTATTTAGACGCTTATCCTCCACCTCCAACGTGTCAATCTCCTTTACAAAGCCATCGAATTGTTCGACGAAGGTTTGCAAAAAATGCGCACCGATCTCGCTGCCAATGTGAGCATGCAGAAACGCCAGCAAGACCATGTGCTCCTGCACCATGCGCTCGTTGACACGTGTTCGACCAAGCAGCGCCTCCTGCAGCAGTCTTGTCAGCGTTTCATTCATGTTGTAGCGAGAGTTCTTCATGTATAACGTTTCGATGCCACTTGAAATTTTGTGAAGGTTCGCCTCGGACAAACGATTGAGCAAACCCTTGCATTGTTTCTGCAGGCGTGCCAGTTGCTCCGACTGTTGGGCGCTAGAGCCCTCGCTGGCGGCGAGTAGTGCGCGTTGATGTGGAGGTATATATTTCTGCCCGGTCACCTTAGCCTCCACCTCTGCGGTATCAGGTACAATGTTGCCCTCGGCATCAAGTCGACGACCATAAATGTCTTCCTTGTCTGAAAAATTAACATAATTAATTGATGCAGAAAAAAACAATCTGTATAAATACATTTTGTAGTTTTCGTTCCTGTGTCCTGTTCGCTTTCACTATTTGATTCCAAGTCTTCTGCGTCCTCCTCCATTTCATCTTCATCCGTCAATGGTTCATTGGCGTCATCTTCCTCTATTTCGCTATCCTCGCCTGGCATGTCCATTGGCTCATCTTCTTCGTCGCTCCACATGCCCGCTTCTTCCTTCGCCTGCTGCTCCTTAAGCTCCTTTTTACGACGTTGCTTCTCCTCCCATTTCTGCTTCTCTTCCTCATCGTCCAACACAAAATCGAGTAAATAGTCCAATCCATCATTGAACATCTTACGCACCGAACGATTCTTGTCCTTGGTCTTATTGAGCTTTAGTTTTTTCTCAAGCTTGGCAATTTCCTTATCCTCTTCTTCATTCTCTAGTTTCAATTGCTTCATTCTCTGCTTTCGCGATTTGCTGAGGAGCTCTTTTTGTTGACGCAACTCTCGATTCCGTACTTCGATCTCGTCTTGCCGCTGGATGCCCGCGTGCTTTTTAGGCCTCTTGCTTACTAGGTCGTAAACCTCCACTTTACGAGCTGCCGGTAAGCGAGCATCGACTTCCGCATCACTAAAATCGGAGCCAATTGATTCATCATCAGCCTCGTCTACTTCGCCGGCCAGCAGCTCTTCCCGTGAAATCTCTTCTGGTTTTAACTGTTTCTTTTTGGGCTTTTTCTTTTTCTTGCCAGTTTTACTCGCTGCTAGTGCCGCAGCCGCTGCCGCTTCGGCTACACGTTGGGCTCCATTTACCTTGTCTGCATGGTAGATCCTCTTGTTATTTTTCTTCGTCTCCTGCTTTAGCTTGCGCAGTTCCTTGCGGCTGAGCGGCTTTTTAGGTGCCTGCGCTCCTGTCTTTTTCAGCTTGACCATGTCAAAATAAAAAAAACACTTTCAAATTGTTTTGTTAGTGTTGCCAAATCAGCTGTGCTCAACACGTGTGTAGGATTTTTTAGTACATTTCTGGTGTGCAGGTTGATACATGTTCCAGGAAAAACAGCTGAGAACCGTTTGCCACTGAATTGTAATTTTGTTTTCTGTTTTGAATTAACACATAAAAGTTGAGCTATGTCCACGCGGTGGTATCCAATTTATCAACGCGGCAACCCACAGTTGCGCGTATTCCTGCCGAACTTTTGGATGAAACTAGTACGACCAACAGAAGAGCAGCCGGCTAATGTTGTTACCTTCGCGGTGTCCACGGAGATGACCAAACATGATGTGAAAAACTATTTGGAAAAGATTTATAAGCTTCCTGTGGTGGATGTTCGCACACGAATTGCATTGGGTGAGACCAAACGTGATCAAACCTACGGCTATGTGACAAAGAAAGACGATGTCAAATATGCTTATGTAACCATGGTGAGTGAAGATTATATGGAAACTATAGTGCAGGCCACGATAAAGTTGCTTCTTTTTTCAGCCGAAAACCGAAGCGTTTACATTTCCGGATATATTTGTAAATAAAGCAGAGAAGCAGGAAAAGGAGGAAAAGTCACTGGACGAGTCGAAGGCCGGCTTTCGCAGGTTTTTGGATCGCAACAAGAAACGACCTGGTACGCCGGGCTGGTACTCGATTTAAGCTATTAAGTTAGATGTAATTTAATTTGTTTGCAACGAATAATAACATTTATTTCGAAAATCCCAGATTGAGTAAAAAGAATTTAAAGCTTAAAAACATGATGTTTCGGCCTGGGCTTCTATTGCTTTGCATTTTTCACCGCTGTGGCCACCCAGGCGCGTATTTTGTCCTCGTCCTGCAGCCCCACCATGCGCTGTACTTCTTTTCCATTTTGCATGATCACAAGAACGGGTACAGCGCCCACATCGTAGTCCAGTGCTAGCTCACTGTGCTCATCGATGTCAACTTTGGCCAGTTTTATGGAGCCAGCCTGCTCGCCTACAATGCTCTCGATGCGCGGCGTCAAGAGTTTGCAGGGATTGCACCAACTGAAGAAAAAGATGCTATCATACACTGAATATAAATACATTATGCTCTGGACTTACGTTGCGAAGAAATCCACTATAACTGGCTCCTGGCTGTTCTTCACCTTCTTGTCAAACTCTTCGGGGCTTTGTACTTTGAAGATTTCTCTACGTTTCGGCGTCACTGAGAATGCGCGTTGATTGTTGCGCACTTGTCGCGCCACATTTTCAAGCAGATTTGCCATTTGTCTTTGCATTTTGAATTTATTTGTTCGTAATTACAAGTTACGAGATTGTATGACAGTTGGAATTTTCAGCGTTACCAACACATTCGAAGCAGCTGTTTTGTTTTTATTACCTACCCAGTGTGACCACAAGAAACCAATTTTAAAATACTAAAAGTTTAGTATAGCAGTGGTTAGTGGATTGGAATTACCGCAACTTTAATACTCTACCAGTTCTGGAAGCAACGCACGAAACATCATGTACATGAACAAGCTGAATTTTCGAAAAACAAAAAAATTGTTATGTAGGTTTTGACATTGTGAAATTTTCTGTTAAGAAATATCACATTAGCTTTGTATATAAAATTCGATAATGACATTTCCAAAGTATTGTGAAGCAGCCAGTACACATTGTTAGTGTGCAATTGAAAAGACTTCAAAAATAAAGTAATAAAATACCAAAGTATTAAAAAAAAGCAATACCTTAAAGGTACAAACTTTTTAAAATACCAACACACATACATTCGCTCACACTGTTACACGTATTCGCGTCAGGCATAAAAATTGTAATATCAAAAGTTCAATTGATTTGGTTTCATGCTAAAATCAAATTTTAAGTGTTAGATCCGCCTCGACAGTTTGCTTGAAAGTTTTCCAACGCGTTCAGGTGCTAATTGAGCATTCAAAAAAGAGACCACACGGTAATCGGATTCTGAGTGCAATAAGTGAGTGCATCTCGAACTGCGCAAATGGCAAATAGCCATAGAAAGGTGGAATCAGCAGTCGACGAACAGTAGTGCATACCCAGACGTATAACAATGGATGACCTGTCGCAGGGCGACATATGTCGCGTCTGCCGCTGCGAGGCATTGCCCGATAGACCGCTCTTTTATCCATGCATCTGCACTGGCAGCATCAAGTATATTCACCAGGATTGTCTGATGCAATGGATGCGTTACTCGCACAAGGAATACTGCGAGCTATGTGGCTACCGCTTCAGCTTCCAGCCCATCTACGCACCGGATATGCCGCGCGTCTTACCATTACGTGATGTCCTGATGGGTCTGATGTCCGCCGTCTTGGAGGGCGCACGCTGCTGGCTGCACTACTCCCTGGTGGGCATGGCCTGGTTTGGTGTGGTTCCACTGTCGGCATATCGAACCTATCGCTATTTGTTCCGGGCTAGTTCTTTTGATATGATTCTCTCGCTTCCGTTTGACATCTTCTCCATAGAGAATCTGGCTGCAGATGCTTTTCGTGGATGCTTTGTGGTAACTTGTACACTATTGTCTTTTATTGGCCTGGTTTGGTTGCGTGAGCAAATTCTTCATGGCGGTGGACCTGATTGGCTTGAGCGCGACGAGGCCCCGGCAGCAGCAGCAGTCCCAGCTGCACCTGCTGCCGCTGCCGCTGTGCCCCTTGCTCCAGATGCCGCTCAAGATGACAACAACAATGGCAACGCGCCGCAGGATGTGCCCATGGATAATGCCGCACCAGCTGTGGCCAATCCGGCTGACAATGAGGGCGACGGAGCCCAACCAGCTGCGGAGCCTGGTGCAGGAGGCGCGGCCGCTGGGGGCATCGCTGCTGCAGATGCCGACAATGATGAGCAAAACTGGAATCCAATGGAATGGGATCGGGCCGCCGAAGAGTTAACCTGGGAACGTTTACTTGGTCTGGATGGCTCACTTGTCTTCTTGGAGCACGTCTTTTGGATAATCTCGCTAAACACCATGTTCATCTTTACGTTTGCCTTTTGTCCGTATTGCGTGGGAAACTTTATACTAAGCTCCATGGATTTGTTGCAGCCCGAAAAGCCATTGCTGCATTTCCATGGACTGATCACCACGCTGTTTGGCTACTGTTGCATCGGACTGACCCTGGTAGTGCTTCACTTCTTTGCACGCGTCTTTCGGCTGCGTCGGATCTGCTGGTTCATTGGACTGTGCTACATTGTGGTGAAGGTATCGTTGCTGTCCGTGGTGGAGATCGGCGTGCTGCCCCTCATCTGTGGCTGGTGGCTGGATATTTGCTCGTTGCCGTTGCTCGATGCCAGCATCAAGGATCGCAAGGCCAGCTTCAAGGCCGCCCCGGGCACATCTCTCTTTGTCCACTGGATGTTTGGCATGGTGTATGTCTATTACTTTGCCGCCTTCATATCGCTGCTGCGCGAGGTGCTGCGTCCCGGCGTTCTTTGGATCTTCCGCAATGTCAACGATCCCGACTTCAGTCCCATTCAAGAAATGATTCATGTGCCCATTGTGCGTCACATACGCCGCCTGGTTGCCTCGGCCATGATCTTTGGCTTTGCGGTGCTGCTCATGCTCTGGCTGCCCATACGTATTCTACAGCTCGTCTGGCCCAATTTCTTGCCGTATGCCCTGAGCGGCGACTCGGAGGTGAATGATCTGAGCTTGCAGCTGCTCTTACTTCAGGTACTTCCATACATATTCACATAGTCTATCATGCTAATGACAACATCGTATTCACAATAGATTGTGCTGCCCGGATTCTTTGAGCAAACACAAACGCGCATTTGGCTGAAGGGACTACTACGTATCTGGTGTACAGCTGTATCCTGGCTGCTTGGCATACGCAGCTACTTGCTGCCCGCACCGGAGCCGGAGGACGGCGAGGCGGCTGCTCAGCCAGGTGAAGCCGGCGGTGCCGCTGCTGCTGCACCCCCGCCGCCACCACCGCCACCTCCAGAGCCAGCACCGCCACGCAATTTGGCCGCCGCCCATCAGGCGATCATGCAACGTGATGTCCCGGTCGGTTTCCAGCCTTACGAACGACCCACATTCTTCACTCTACGCCTTTGTGCACTGCTCTCGCTGATGTGCTTGTCGATTGTGTGCGCCGCCATGGTCATACTGACTGTTCCCGTCTACATTGGACGCCGTCTGATGATGCTCTGGACGGGTCAACCGGGCGACAAGGCTGTTCCGCCAGTCCCGGTCGATATGCCAGTGGCAGATCCAGAGGCGGCACGCAAGAACGAACGTCTGTTGCGTCCCCATGAGCTGTACACGGCCGAAATCGGAGGATATCTATGCTGGATTGTGTCGCGTGGCGTGGCTGTAGTCGTTACACTGCTGCCACAGGGACGAGCCGCCATCGTCAACAAGGTGAAACAGTGGGCTCGCGTCGCACTGCAATATGCTCTTCCTGTGCTAACTCTTTTGGGTATATTTGTGCTGGTGCCGCTGCTGTTTGGCCTGCTACTGGAGCTGGTGGTTGTCATACCTTTACGCGTGCAATGGCGCCAGACGCCCATACACTTCTTGTGGCAGGATTGGGCCCTGGGCGTGCTGTACACGAAGATCGCCATAGCACTCACACTGATGGGACCGGATTGGCACTTGAAGCGATCTTTGGAGCGCGCCTATACGGATGGACTGCGCGACTTCGACTTGAAGTTTGTGATGCGCGACCTGGCAGTACCGGTGGTGACCACATTTGGCCTAGCTCTGGCTATACCCTATGTGATCGGCCATTCGATTATGCCGCTCTTCTGCAGCGATCCGTACACCCTGCTGGGCATCTCTAGACTGGTTTATCCAGTTAGCTTTATTGTTGTGGGCAGCGTTTGCTTTGTGCTCTTTCAGATAAAGCAACTGAAGAAGCTGTATCTGTCGATCAAGGTGGACAAGTATCTGGTGGGTCAGCGCCTGGTCAACTATGAGCACCGCAAGAAGCAGCAGGCACAGCAAGCGGCCGCCGCTCAAGAGCTGAAGGCGCGCCAAGAGGCCGAGGAAGCACAGCAGGCGCAAGCACACGAGGGTGGGGGAGCAGTCGAACGCGACGAGGAGCCACAACTGGATCAAGCCGAGCAGGCGGCGTTGCATGCACGACGGCGTCGTGAGCAGCGGCCACGCCCACTGCTTGTGGATGCCAACGAGGAGCTGCTCTAGGGTTACGTCTATTTTATCTGCATGTTTATAATGGAGTCCCTGCTGATATATCTCTGTTTGATTCACACGCTTCATCCGGAACAGGCCATCTGATTGGATGGACAATGAGCAGCTGCTGACGAACATCCAATACGAAGTAGTTGGAGGGGAAAGGCGCTTCAAATTAAAAAGTTAAACAATTTTTCGTTTCTCTGCTTTAGTTTTTTATTTCTTAACATTAGCCACAATTGTTTGTTAAACCTTTTCGCTTTTAGGTCCTAAACTGTATGATAATTTAAGCCAGCCGATATAGCCAATAATCACCATCTGATTTACTCAACCTATATTTACCATATTAACACTTTTCGATTTGCTTTGTAAAAAAAGTTTTGAGATCACAACAAAACGCAAAGTTGCAAAAAGGAAAACAAAAACAAAAATATACTGAAATGAAATGATAAATCATTAAATCCAAGTATGGCACGATTATATATATAGTAAAGGGGATTCACAATTAAAATATATATATATATATAAATGTGTGTAGAGTGTTTACCTTGTATTAGAATCTGATACGATATGTGTATTTACGAGCATTATTTCC